TTTTGCTCTTTCCGTCATATCAAAACAAAACGCCTGCCGCCGTATTTCGTCACCATTTCGTAGCTCTTGGTGCTTTTCATATTTGAAGGAATAGTATTTATGTCGTTTCAAAATTCGAAACGCTGTAGTGTGATCTATTCCTATTTCATCCTCAAATTTCCTTGTGCTGATCTTTCCATCGTTCTCTTCCACGCACAATAAAACTTCCAAGTCGGTATCATTTCTTGCATCTTCTCTTTGTTCCTGCCTTGCTTCACATCTGCAGTTATTTATTAGGGTACCTTTGGTCTCAAATCTCTGGCTATTCCTTGCGATTGTAGATTTTCCAGGTATCGGTCTATTCGGATACAGAGCAGCAAACATGTCCAACACCTTTTGATAACTATTTCCTTGATAATACCATTTAATCATCAATACTTTTTCTTCGGTAGTGTAATTCATGGCTAATATTTTCGATGTAGGTATGTGTTTTTAATATTTTTTTTATTTTTTTTTTATATATGTTTATAATAATAATAATAAAGCACTGAATTTGTGCACTGAATAGATAAATTTCTGAAATGACAACTTCATTTGACAGATATCTTTTACCTTGACTGGTGCTCATAAGTACAATCAGGGCCATAAGAAAGGAGAAATATTTAAAAAGAATTCGGGCGATAACTCGTAAACGGGCTAATCAAAAATATTTAAAGTTATTATTTTGAATGTGGGTTTTAGTGCTCTTTAATAAACCTAAATAGAATTATTCTCTAAAATAATTAGGGAAGCCATAATTACAAAAAATAAATAATGTAGTTATTTAAAATAACTTAAAATATATGTTTAAGTAGAATAGCAAAATATTTAAAATATGTAGGTATTTTGAAAGTCTGCTTTTTTTATTAATTTCCGGCTAAAGGAAAATATTTAAGTTCGTGTTAAAGTAGGGAAATCTTTGAATACATTAAATTTAAAATTCAGAAACCTAACTAAATTTTTCCAAAGCGTATTCCATAAATTCCATAATTTATCAGTTTAAGACCCTTCCGAGGAAAACATTTATAAAGGAAAATTTTCGTGCAATTCAAGGGATATTGCACGAAAAAAAAATGTATAATCACGAATTAAAACGGTTTCGTACACGTGGCTTAATATTATTAAGCCAGAGGAGAAAAACGTAGGTGTAACATTTTATTATCATAAATTAAAAACCGACTGTTAAGTAAAGTTGAAATGTCAAAAGTTACAACGACTAATTTTTTGTTTTTAAGTTTGACAATTAATATAATTAGAAGTTTCTAACTCAGTCTTATAAGCTGTATTAATAAGCAGTCTTTTATAACTTTATTAAGGCCATTTGCTCGTGAATTTAATTACTTTGTCTGGCATATTTATGAAGCAATTGGGAAAGTATCTTCGGTTTTTGAATAATATTATTTTATTGGTATTCAGGGCACAGGTCGATCTAGGGGGGCATTGATTAAAATTTGTGTAGAAGTGATCTCTCTCAGCAATTTAATAACTAAATAATAAAACAGCCTCTTCAATACAATATAGCTGAACTCCTAGACAGAATTGCATCCAATTGTAAAAGCGACTCATTGGGGCACCAGCCTGAAGAGGATATTCTCTCTCATATAAATACAACAACACAAAAGAACTAAATAGCCAAACATTATAACATTAAAACTTTTCAAATCTGAAACGACTCTGAGAAGTGTCGTAACAAAAACAAGAACCAACTACAACCAAACCAAAACATCGAAACAAGCGAACTAGTTTATATTAGTATACCAGGTACCATGTGAATGCGGTGAGTCGTATATTGGAGAGACAAAACGTCCTCTAAATGCACCTATATGATTTAACAAACACAAAAAAGCATGTACAAAAAAATGAAAGTCAGGTATTGCAGACCATGCGTGGGCCAAACTGCACAATAAAAGGTGGTCAGGAGCTCGGGTTGTCCACAAGAAACACCTCACTGGAAAAAAACATAAATTTAAAGAAACCTTTTTTAAATCAAATAACTATAACATCTTTCTAGTAATAACATAGCAAACCCAGTATGCAAATTTCCACAATTTCACAGCTACTTGACTTACCCTAAACCAATGCTGACATCCTCAACGGACAACCTCACACTTAAATGCATCCAACTCTTTTATGAGTGAGGGGATTGCTCTGATATACAGGGTGTTTCAAAAAACATGTGCCATCTCTCGTGGGGAGATTCCTTCTCATGTAGTATAATATGATTTATTTTTCATATCAACATAGGTCCGATTCTGCTTCGTTACAAGTCTTATTTTTTTTCGATTTATTCTAATTTTCTTCCAAATGCTTTTAGCAATTCGAATCAAATTTTGAGTAAAAGTGCGACATATTTTAATGCTAAAAAAGTGTCAATATATTCACCAGGGACGTGCATATGGGTTATCACTGGAATATTTTTCTAAAAAAAGACTGACTTTCTAATGTTGGCAAAATTGCTTAGATCGTTTAATGCCGATTAAAAGTTGTATCTTAATGTTTTGTTGATTTCGATCTTCTTCTTAATCCATATGTACTGATTAAAATGCCATTTAAAAATGCAGAAAGCTGAATTATCAAATGGTAATCCCCAAAAAAAATCTTAAGAATTATTATTTATAATTTTCACAATTTATGTTTCAGGTAATACATTCTTCCTTCTCAGAAATTCTTCTTTTTTAATTCAATACGAGTATTTCCTCTTAAACAAGATGAGGCATCAGTTTTTGTTTTCAGCACTTCTGTTTTTAAGGATAAATTTGGTCATAATACATGGTTAGTTATTAGAAATAAGAAAGCCACAATTTCCTTTAAAATCCTGAACTAAAATAATGGTATAATACACACACCGGAAAAATCTAGGGATATCATTTTATTAAAGTTAAAAATAAATGTTTTGAATAAACAACCACATATTTGTAGGCCGATCCTTTCTACTTCGATTGAAACGCAGTAGTCACACTAGTTATTTCTAAATTTGGGATATTTGCAGAAGTGTTTGTGAATTTTTTGTCAAATGTATAAAAAGCACCTAGCATCAATTGTTCGAATTTAACCTGTACTGGCTATATTTTTATGATAACTGGTCAGAATTCATTCAAATAACTCTGTTTAGTATTAAACGACATTATGGAGCGTAGACATTTTAACAGAGACGAAATGCTAAGGGCCAGGGTATGCTCGAAGCTGGAATGCGCCAAATCGACGTAGCTAGAGCATTAAATACAACGCAAAGTGTAATATCGCGATTAAGTGCACGCTACCGTAAAAGTGGTGATGTTGCTGAAAGGCACACAGGAAGACATCACATTACTACCCCTCAGCAAGATCATTTTTTACAATTAAATTCTCGACGCTGACTGACTCTTACAACACCAGAGCTTAGTTTAATTCTCCAGGAAACACATAATGTAACCGTTAGTCCTGACACTGTTCGCAATAGATTAGGAGAGGTCAACTTAAGAAGCAGACGCCCCTGGAGAGCTCAACCCTTAACGAGAGGAAATCGAGAGGTACGATATTTGTGGGCTCAAGATCATGTTCAGTGGTCGAATGAACAATGGGCCAATGTTCTCTTCACGGATGAGTCACGCTTTAGAATTCATCCGGATTCGAGAAGGCTTAGGGTATGGAGAGAACCGGGAAATCTTATTCGGTTGGATCATGTTCAGGAAGTGCACCCTTATCAAGGTGGAACAGTTATGGTCTGGGGAGGAGTCCAGTTAGGCCGAAAAACCGATCTCGTTTTTCTTGAAAGGTTTCTAACAGGAATCACATATCGTGATTTAGTTCTTGAGCCTGTCGTGTTACCATATGCCAATGATTTTGGGAGAAACTTCATTCTCATGCATGACAATGCACGGCCTCATACAGCCAGAGTGGTAAGTGAGTTTATCAATGCTCATCAATTAAACATCTTACCCTGGCCGGCACAATCTCCTGACCTCAACCCCATCGAGCACGTATGGGACGCGATCCAAAGAAGAATTTTGAGAATGGGTATGCCTCGTAAAACTCGTAGGGATTTGGTTCGGGCCGTGAATGCAGCGTGGCAGGCTGCACCTCAAGAAGAGATCGACAGCCTGATCAGGAGCATGGAGAGACGATGTAGGGCTGTAATGAACAGTAGAGGAGGCCATACCCTTTATTAAGTAAAAATGATTTTATCTTTTTTTTTAATTCACAGTTTAGAATAAAAAAAATGTGTGTATTTTTTTGAGTTCAATAAAAATCAATTAATTGTTTTAATTATATCAGAAATGCAAATAATAAAATTACTAACGATGGCTGGATAAAATTTTAATATCCCTAGACTGTTCTGGTGTGTGCATATTATATTTCATTTTTTGAACAAATTCTCAATTTACAGTAATACTTTTTTTAAATTTAATTTGCAATACCTGTCAGAAAAAATAAAAATTATACCCTATGAAAAAAAAAATTTATGGTATAAACCACACACTATTTAGTAACCAGCTTGTCGACTTTAATAATTTGCATGAAAATATGAGTATTTACTGAGTTATTCAAACATAACATTAATAATTAATCTAACCTTCATTGCAACAAACCACCGAGAATGAATAATACTCTAAGTGGCATGTGTAGGAGAATAGACAGCAGGTGAAACGCGGTACTGAATAAGCTCTTTTATAGGTAAAGGAAATGTAAGTAATAGGACAATAAAAATAAATACACCCATAATGTTCGATAAGCTTTATATGAAGCAACTAATGATAATTGTTGGGATAACAGTTGCAGCTAGAACCTTTGGTAATAAAACTATGAATTCAAACACTAGTTCACCACACTACACCAAAACCATTTACTTTTAACACTGACAGTATCAAAAATAGTGTTTTTGCTGTCTTGTCATGAACTAGTGTTTTATTTTGCATAGGTTCCTCTTTACCACAATACACTACTTAAGCTTATTTAAAATGTTTAATTAAAATTTAAAATATACTAAATACCACTAAAATATTATTTAGGCTTAATAATTGCCTAATTTTAACCTTGGTTCTTGTTGCTCATCTTATTCATTAGAGCAAAATAAGAATAAGAGGCCTTTAGAATCTAAAAAGTTAAATTTAGTTGGAGTTATTTTGTTGTACAATTTGGTTTTTAACATACCGCAACAAACGTTGTAAGAGACAACTCAAAGAAGTTTGCGGCATAGAATCTCATCGGTTTTTGAGACCTCAAAATAATTAGTACCAACATTTTTTTAAAGGAGGTACTGCCGTTTAGCCAATCGCTGGTGTACGCTGCTGTTGATATGTTTTCGCTCTAAAATTTAAGACATTAGAAGAATTTATTGATGCCTTAATTATAACAACAATTATAACACAAAATTTGAGATATATGCATGTGATATGAAGAAATCCTTGACAATCAAAATTAAACCTAAGTTCGCCACATATATACAGCGTGTACCAGAAATAAGTGCAGATATTTTAACTTGTAGTATATTTCGTTGATTTGTTTTTTTTTGTTTTTAGTTAAAAACATAATTTCTTGATAATATGACAACATAGGTAGTAGATTAAATTTACAAGAAAGAAAACCCGGAAAAGATACGTGGTTCTCAAAATTTAAGCAAAAAATCATTTTTTTTTGGAAATTTTCAAAGTAAAATAACTCGGTTATTTTGGACGTATTTCAAAAACGATAAAGAGACAATATGTTTCTTTTATCGAGATCTACTACCTCTTAAAATATCCTGTACTTATTTCTGTATATAATTTATACAGGGTGATTCCTGTAAGTAGGTCATGCTTTCGGGGAATAATAGAGGACGTCTCCAAATATTAATTTTAATATAGCACACTATGGGTCGGAAATGCCTCTTACGCAAGATACAGGGTATTAAAGTTTTTGAAAAATTAAGGATATTCTTTAATAGTTTTTTAACAGTTGAAGGTATCGTTATAAAATTTAATTATAGAAGTCTACCTAACTGAGACACTTTAAATGTAAAAAGAAGAGGTTTTAGTTTTAACCAGTGGCGTAGATGTGATACGCATTAGGTAATTTTTGCAAAAAATCTATAATCTATAGGTACTAATATATAAAATCCTTAAGTGACTGACATACTGATTAATCACGATCCTGCTCAAACCACTCAACGTAAGAAGCTCAATTTTCGCATACAGGTTGATTCTAGGGTGTAGAGGTTCGATAAGAAGGGATTTTTCGAAATTCCAGTTCCAAGAGGGTGAAACCACCCCTTAAATATTACAATATTTTTTATTTAAAAAACGGTCAAGTTTCCGACAAAACGCTTAAACACGTATATTTTATTTTGTTTTTTTACATATTTTAAGATTTTTTAAAAATGTATACAGGGTGTTTTGAAAAATCTGGTCATTGATTAATCACGATCCTGCTTAAAGCGCTTGACGTAAAATGCTGATTTTTGGAAAACAGATTGATTAGGGTGTAGAGGTTCGATAAGAAGGGATTTTTCGAAACTCGAATTCTGAGGGGGTGAAACTATCCGTCAAATATTAAAATATTTTTTATTTAAAAACCTGTAAGTTTTTCGGAAAAACTCTTAAACACGTATATTTTATTTTGTTGTTTTACATATTTTAAGATTTCTTATAAATTTATACAGGGTGTTTCATAAAATATGACCATTGAGTAATCACGATTCTGCTTAAACTGCTTGACGTTTAAAGCTGATTTTTGGCAAACGGATTGACTGTGGGGTGTAGAGGTTCGATAAGGAGGGGTTTCTCGAATTTCAAATTCCAAGAGGGCGAAAACGCCCCTCAAATATTACAATATTTGTTATTTAAAAAACGGTTAGTCTTTCGGGAAAACGCTTGGACAAGCATAATTTATTTGGTTTTTTTACATATTTTGAATTTTTTTAAAAAATCATACAGGGTGTTCCAAAAAGTTGGGTAATTTCTTAACCACGATTCTGCTTAAACTGCTTGACGTAAAAGCTTATTTTTGGCAAACGGATTTTTCGAAAGTCAAATTCCAACGAGATGAAACTACCCCTCAAATATTACCAAGTTATATAATAATATCGCCATATTGTTTTTTCTCATGCTGACATAAATGTGAGAAAATTTTATCCAGTTTGTATGATAATGGAAATTCTTGCTTTGCTTTATCATCACCATTACAAATGATTAATTCGACGCGAACGAAGTCGCAGGTACACGCTAGTCTATAATAATATCTTTAATTTTTCAAAAACTTTAACACCCTGTATCTTGCGTAAGAGGCATTTCCGACCCATAGTGAGCTATATCAAAATTAATATTTCGACGTCTCCCATCATTCCCCGAAAGTATGACCAACTTCCAGGAATCACCCTGGATATGTCGCAGACGTATCCAATAATCCAGCTTTTTGCAAAAAGACTAGGCTTATTATAAAACGCCGTCATTTTAAACAAAAAAAAAGATTTTTTTACAAATAGCCTATACCGGGTGCGTCTCAAAAGTAGCTCACCACTATAACTTTTTTATTTTTTCAGATAAAAAAACGAAACTTGGTATCTTAGTATACGACATAAATTAGGATTGATTAACGTATTCAATTCTTTGCTGTCACTTCCTGTTTCATCGGAAATGACTACTATTATAACTAAAATGATAACGAAATAACGAAATGATACTAAACTTTTGATTTTTAAATGACAGCGATCTTCATTTCAAGGCATCGCTGACGCCTTTTTTCAATTATATTGTAATTCCGGATAATATACAGGGCTGAAAATATTTTCCTCGTACCTACTTACCTTTTTAGTTAATTTTGTAGAAAATAAACATGGGGTTAACAATAGAATGGCTTGAGCCATAGCATAGACTGATAAATCAACAAATTCAAGACTCATTTCAGTCTAAAAAATTGTAACAAATGTTAGTTATAAATAAATATACGTAAAATAAAATATATAAGGGAAATTGGAACATTTTCCGTTGCATGTCATCAATGACACCATGCGTCGTCTTATGGAGTTTGCTGGTGGTCGTATTATGATGTGCAACGGAAGTTATTTTAATTTCCCTTTATACGTATCCGACTATAACTTAATATGATATACAGGGACTTAAATAACTGCTTATTACGCCTTCAGAAACACTTCTATTAGTTTCTTTTTTGTGAAAAAAAAATCAATTTTTCAAATAAAAATTGAAAAAAAAACTGAGAAAAAAATCCAGTGGTTCTGAAAATTTAATCAAAAAATAATTTTTACTTTCAAAGTAAAATAACTCGGTTATTTTGGACTTATTTTATTTATTTGATTGTTGAGATAGTAAAAAAATATGTTTCTTTTATCGAGATCTACCAGCCCTAAAAATATCTACACTCATTTAAGTCTCACCCGCTTATTTTTTTTAATTGTATTTATATCAAGAAAAAAAATTACCACAGTCAATAGAAACAGAGCCATACAAAATGTTGTCGTGCAACTGATAAGTTGGAAAAAATACATCATGCCATAAATGTTTTCACTTACATCCAAAAATCTTCAAAAATAAGCAATGAATACATATTGTACAAAATAATTCACAATAATTCCACATACTTTAGAATTAATAAATGATTCCGAACATACTGCGATAACAGTCTTTTATTTTGATAGTCCTTGGAAAAATCGGCCTTAATATTTTTTAATCTGTAACATAGTAAATCGCATTGTAACCCCATGAAGGTTAGAGATTGGATCACCAAAACTTCGCCATAAATAAAGCTAATAGCAATAAGCGATATGCTTATACTTTGATGGACGTAAGCCAACACATATACCCACATGACGGTTACATCCGTGGGATACCACGCATCATATGGTAATCCATTCGGTTTTTCATGAAAAAAAGGCGTTATAATGGATATGGACACTGAGTAATACGAAAAATACGTTAAACAGTTTTTAACCTGTATAAATTCCCTAAAAATATTCGTTAGATAACAAATATTATAGCCCAGTCAAATTAGAAAAATCGGTGGAAAAAAAGTTTTGAAAATGGTTTTAAATGATTTCTCTAGACTTGGGCTGATATGTGTCAAAAGTCCCCGAAGATAGACGATGAGTGGGAAGGATTTAAATGTCAATGTTTTCACTTTTTCAGTAAATATGACACCTACGGAAAAATACCCTATATAGAAAATTGAAGCTCAGAAAATTCTCTACAAAATTGGTTAAATGCATTTTTTTTCATAGGTCTAACCTTTTAAGAGTTACAGGGTGGACAAAATTAATACTATTTCTCATAATATTGTATTTTCGCATTTATAATCCAGTTAAAGTCTAAATTTAATATTAATAATGGTAATATTAAGGGATCCTTATGTTATCTTTCAGATCTTCATTGCATCGTGACTTTTTGTCTTCCGTTGGAAAGCACTAGTGCACACAGAACTGAACAATATCTGCAAGTTAAAGATTAATGCATGCCTGCTTTACGGTAAAAAAAAGTATAACACAGCATGTAGCTCAGCTGCAAATATTGTAGAAAGTATACGAAAACCAAGAATCATGGTTTATGGTCGATGATAGCTCAGAATTGAATATTTCTATCCCCGCCTGCAGATTTTTCTAATGTTAAAGTAGCACGAAGCATTTGAGGTCTGGCTCCCTGAAATTGTATATTGCGATGATATTCTATATCATTTCTTCCTGTGGGTACAGTTGAATATTTACGTATCTGCACTACCCAATCCATTTCGCCAATATAGTATCAGTTTTCCTAGCAGAATTTCAAAGAGTCTTAAAACCGCATATGAAAGTGTGATTTCAGAATCTTTATTATATTCAACCTACAATAATTGAATATAATAATGTCCACACATGTAATATGAGTCTCCATACTTTAAAATTATTACACATCATCCGTTTTAGACAAGTAATTTGTATTCAATAAAAAAAGTGATTTTAATTTACTATTTATAATAATGCATATATAGTTTACTTTTTTTAATTTAATAGGTCTTTCAAATTCTTTTTTAATTTTGTACAATATCGTATAATATATTAAAAAATTTAAATTACAAAAAATCTACGTTATTAAAGATAAAGTTCATCATAAGACTTTCGAATTAAAGAATTTTATGAAGGTATTTCTATTTCCGACACAAAAATTAATTCAGAAACATAATAATTCACTATTATTTTATAAATGTATTATTATTTATTTTGTTTCTTTAATATATTATGTACATAATGCCGGTTTTGATTCTTTTAATTACATAAAAATATAAAGCAAAATAAATGAACAGAAAACATTATCCTTGTTAATAAATAACTTGTGCAGTGAAGGAGTGATTTATTTGAACGCATCACGTCTAAAATTTATAAAATCACAGTATATACTAAAGGTCATACTTAATACTTAAAAAATCATGATACCGTCCTTCTTCAACGCTATTTGAACGAAAAACGTGCAATGAAAAGAAATGTTTGTACGGATTTGGAATAATGCCATTTAATTTAGTATCCAAATTTATGAAGGGTATACGAGCCCTAACAAAATTTGTTCAAAATTTTTATTTTCATTAACTGAATTATTTACATTTAAGAAATACATTAAAAATATATTAAAATCTAACATTTCTAATGAGTATTTAAATAGTTTAGTTTCAATGAACATTAAAATAAACTGTAGGCCAATAAATAAACAAAAAGATTGCACAATATCATGACAACTAAATGTTCGGACACTTTAAAAAATAACTGTTCTAATATGGCGTTACATCGGCATGAACTTTTGCAACCACTACAAGCCTATTTGGCATTGTTTTTATTAATGATTTACATACACCAGAGTAAAAATTTTGCCATAATTCACTTAATATCATCGTCAAATGGGCAACGGTTTCTTGGGAATCCTGGCACAATTTTTGTTTTGTTTATATGCCACATGTCTCGATAACATTAAGGTCCGGACTGTGCGAAGGCCATTAGGGGATCTTGTCATGTTCATGTCCCTAAATAATTTTTTAGTAGTTTCAGCTGTATGGCATGCCCCGCCATCCTGTTGAAATATAAAATTATTGTCCTGATCTTTACCAGAACAATTGGTTACAAGGACCTTTGTCCTTCCCACTTGACACATGAATATTTTTCAAAATTTTTTGATTTTTTGACGTATCAATTATGCCTTCTACCACCTCATACTTTTCTGGGCCTATTTTGGACATACTTCTTCAAATCATAATGCCTTTAGGAAATTTCATCGTCCTTTTGAGGTAATCTTTATCAAATAGACACTCTAGCGGTGTTAATTATATCGATGGCTCATGTGCACATGTAATTCGTGCACTTGCCATTTGCGACTGGAATTATTAGCGTCGGATTGGGAAATAATTAAATATTTTACCTTAATGTCATTTTTGTAGTATGTGACATCAGGAAGTTCCAATCCGACGCTGATAATTCTAATCGCAAATTGCAAGTTCAAGGATTACATCTGCACGCATGCATGATCTTTATGAAAGATGGACAGTGGAATTTCCTAAAGACATTATGCTTTTAGAGTTTATGTCCGCAGTCAGTGGGTCTAGGAAGGTATGAGGTGGTAGAAAGGCACAACTAATGTGTCAAAATATCAAGAAATTTTGAAAAACAGTTTTGTGCCAAGTGGGAGAGACCTTTACCAGGATATGAATTTTATATTTCAACAGGATGGCGGGGCATGCCATATGGCTAAAACTACTAAAAAATGGTTTAGGGACATGAACATCAAGGTCCCCTCATGGCCTTCGCACAGTCCGGACCTTAATGTTATCGAGACATGTGGCATAAAACAAAATAAAAATTGTGCCAGGATCCCCAAGAAACCGTTGCCCATTTGACGATGATATTAAGTGAATTATGGCAAAATTTTTACGCTGGATTATGTCAATCATTAATAAAAACAATGCCAAACAGACATGCAGTGGTTGCAAAAGTCCATGCCGATGTAACGCCATATTAGAACAGTTATTTTTTAAAGTGTCCGAGCATTTAGTTGTCACGATATTGTGCAATATTTTTGTTTATTTATTGGCCTACAGTTTATTTTAATGTTTATAGAAACTAAACTATTTAAATACTCATTAGAAATGTTAGATTTTAATATATTTTTAATGTATTTCTTAAATGTAATAATTCAGTTAATGAAAATAAAGGTTTTTAATAAATTTTTGTTTGTCCGAACATTTAGTTGTTAGGGCTCGTAGTTCGGAAACCATAAGTCTGGGAACAAAAATGTATAGTCATTTTTATAGAGAATTTTGTCAGATTTATTTTTATATATAGAGCGTTTTTTAGTAGATGTCATAGTTTTTCGAGATATAAGCAACAAAGTGAAAAAAATGACATTTAACTCCTCCCCACTCCTCGAGCTCATCGTCTATCTTCGGGGACTTTTGACATATATCAGCCCAACTCTAGAGGAATCGTCTAAAACATTTTTAAAACTGTGGGAATTTTTTCCACCAATGGGCCTTTTTTTAACTAATTTGACTGGGGTATTACTAAAAAATTTCTTACTTTAAACATATTTTCACAATGCCCATTTCATCGTCATTTTTAGGTTGAAACATTTCTTGATCATACTGTTTCAGCATAGATATAAAATAATCTTTCTTATAGAGTAAAAAGTACCTTTTGATGTTGCCCATAAGACAGGTCATGATAACATAGCCCAAAGTAGCAATGTTTTTTAAACTATCACCATGCAATATTAGTTCCATCAACAAAAGAGCAGTGAATGGACCCATTAGAATATATTGCACAAAGAACGCATAAAAATTATACCAGGACGGAATTTTTTCGGTATGTGGGTTATCTAAAATCCACACACCTACAATTTTTATCATTCTATGATGACTTTTATAGAATTTCTTGTAATCAAACATATTCATACTGATACTTTAGTGACTCTGGAGGTTTGTCTTCTTTAGTTACTGACTATATTCCCTTATAACTTCCTCAAAGAGACTTATAAAGTATTTTATTCTACGCCTCACTAAAGATTTATTAATTTTAAAATGTACCAAAGAAAATTAATAGGTTTCAATTTTGTCTGAGTTTAAGGTCTGTGGAAATTACAGCTCTCAATAATGTTGGGACAAATATAGAAGTAAATAATTAAAAACTTGATTGAAGCAATTAGTAAAAGGAAATATGGGATTTTAATTAAAAATAAAACACCGAATTTCAAGTATTATATTTTGCAACATTTAAAACAATGTCATTAATAATAATTACTTTAAATTACTAAAGTATCTCCTTAAATTCTAAAAAAAGACATACCTAAAACAATATTATAATGTATTTATTACAATTCATCACAATTCTGTCTCACTATTCATTTCGAAGCAAAATTATACCATAATTATTATTACTTTTGAATAATAATGTGCAACAAATTATGGCAATCATTTTAGATATCTGCTATCCACGATTCATCATTCTCAAAATACCCAAACCATACTTACAAATCTATGTTAGTTTCGAAATATTTTAGAATAAAGCTTTGTGAAAAACCTCTCATAACAATAAGAAATAGAAAGCTTGAGATTAGATAAAGCTTTAACATTTTTATTCTCCTATTCTAGAACAGAAAAAATAGTAGGGAATTGGTTTTTATTCTTTTATATAAATCAAAATTTCAGTATACCACCAATTTCTAAAGATTATTAAGGAAAGCCAATCATTCTATTTAGTATAATTTTTATTGCAATGTTATGAATATCCATAATTTGCTCGGATAGGATAAGCATATAATAATTATATGCGTATCATAGCTAAACAAGTTATGCATATTCTTAACATTAAAATTTGTATTTTTTTCAATGCTCGTTGCCATTATAACATTATTGTATATTTTAATATACAGAATTGGCAAAAAGTATTTGGTCAGTATGTCTAGGAGTGAATAGCTATAAAGGTTTTGTCATCAGAGGAAAATGTGATGGTGCTTATTACATAACTAAATAATGAGGTACTCTATTTAATTAAAGGAAATAATTTTAAAAGATTTTTTTTTCTCTTACTTTACTCGTCTTACATACGAAAATAGGAACCCAAAGCCGATCGTTGCCAACCACGTATAAAATTAATTTTCAGTTGTAAAGTTACTCAATTAACAAACCGACTATTTTTATAATTATCCCACATGGTGATTTCTGCCAAGTTTACAATTCTTGGTTCTTCGTTTAGTGCACTGTAACCTAACACAGAGACATAAAACGTGATCTCTTTCTTTATATCATAAATAAAGTATCCAAAGAGCTTTAAAAAGCATTAGTGTTTAGCTACATTGATCTGAAGATTATATCACTTATTAAATAACAATTCAAAAATTATAGAACCGATAGGTTAGGGCATTAAGATTTTAGGTTAAGGCATTAAGATTTTAGGTTCTAAAAATGTTGTCACCCATAATTTACCCCATCTCAAAAAAATCAAATAACTCCCAACTGATCAAAATTAAGAATTTATAACCAGCCTACCTATTCTACTCTAATCTCAGTATATTCAATTTTGTAACTGCTAGGCATGTGAATTTTATAACGGGTCGTCAGAAAAAAATGCTTGTTTCCATACGTATAACAGTAATGTTTCGAAAATTTTGAAATTAAATTGAATAAAATAGCATATTCTAAAACTAATTTTCAACTTTAAGATTCGGTATTCCAATATTTTAATAGAATGAAACCACTTCCTCAATCTTCTTTTAACAACATTAGTCTAAACAGGTACAAATTTGAGTTTACACCAATCCCCTTCCATTTGTTTTAATTAATATTGTTTGTAGAAACTGTTCCAAACCAGTTGAGGAACTGTTCGCTTGTGCAAAGGAAAAAACGCCACCTAACCTATAAATTATATTTTAACTTTTTAGTAACAGAACTTCTCTTTCGGATATTTATATCATAGTAATTTATTACTGTAGACTGAGACACCATTTTAATTTACCTTACAACCGGGAATATGTCAATCACTGGATCAAACAAATATTTTTAATTTCGGGTTTTGTTTAGTGTTAGGAACAACACGCATATATTTCATCTAGACAGGCAGAATTAATGAATAGATTTATTACCAAAAAACGATCATTACATCATCTAACTAACAAAATGAGATATAAGCAACTAAAGCCTTTTAGCATTAATCAAGTATTTAAGGCGTCTTTTGAGACTAGAAACAAAATAACAAAAATATATTATGAGAGACTCTACCGCGTTAGGACCTCTAAACGCTTTACTCGCTTTCTGTGCGTCCATGGACTCATTCCCAAGGCAACCCCAAGACAACACCGCAAGAAATTGACTGAACCTCACAAGAACAACGATGATTATGGAAGAGCTAGCGAAAGTAAACACACCATGACCAGAATATAAAAATTAGATGGAAGGTTGTCAGCGAAGCCCAATGCTTTGAATACAGGAGTATAGTCTGTCCAAGAGGATACATGATAGTGACTTGTATCATTTTAATGCACACATAAATTGTATTATTATATCCTGCCATTTTTTGGGTGTTATCTGCCGAAATATTCCCTAACACACTTTAATAATGCCTATTTAGAGCCAGTATGTGCCACTTTTTTTCAAAAAATTTGATGAATAAAAATATACTCAAATGTTAGATAAAAATGCTGAACTCTGCTTTCTAAAAAGCTGATCTTTATTAAAGAAAAAGATGGAAAACTGATGGAAATGACGCAATTTAGCTGATTCTGTTACATTGTCAAATCATTAATTCAAATTCCAAAGTGGTTAATAATTGGGCTGCGTGCAGGTATTGATGGTAGATGCAGCACACACGTAAAATTTAGATCCTTACAGCTTGATTCAGAACCTCCAAATCAGTGGAATAAATGAGCGTAAAAGCTTGTTCCTCTAATTTCAATGAAAGCATTCATAACGTCAAAATTAGTGGTAGTCATTTTCAATTAGTAGAAAAAATTAACAAACTTTTAACTTTTCTAGTACTTATACTTTTCAAAATTTGCGAGGAATGTCATTTGGCCTTTGATTATCCTCCGTCTTAAAAAATAATTGTGGTTTGAAATCAAAAGTTTAGTTTTATAAGCTAAATATTTAGGCTTTCTGTATGGATACAACTGACTACCGCAAGCTGTTCTTAGGATATTCTATTAAATTTAATTGTGTTTTTTAGACATTGTAAATGATCGTAAACTAAAAAGTATAAAGTGTAACTGAAATCACTAATTTAGTAATTTAGAGGTTCTGAATGAAGCTTAATAGTTTTGCATTAAACTATATTCTTGTAGACATGGACGTCCTAATCTCATTTGAAAATAGGTACATATTGAAAAAAGGACGACTATTGTTATCCTCAATACCTAAACGCAGGTCTATATACGCGCTTTAAATTAATCCTAAACCAATTCAGTACCCGATCTATAATCACCGGCAAACAGAACCTAACCTAACCTCGTGTTTATTTTTTATCACCCTCTGTAACACTGCCATCGTCGAGCGTCGATGCCAGTTCGTTAGGATCAGTTACGGGTAAATTACAGGCAAAGTTACGGCAAACGTAAGCGGCTGCTTTGCCGTGAACCGGTCTGAGTCTTTGGAAGGTTTCGATGCGTTGGTATAGTAGGCCCGCCCTGCCACCCGGACCGTCCGCCACTGCGAGGATGCGACCGGGCATGAAGCGCGAACGCACCACGTCTAACAAGGCCTGGGTGTCGTTATCCTCGGTCGGGCCGGCGATAAAAACCTGCAAAAGAAGGAATATGCTAAACATAAGATGTGAATAAAAAAAGTACATATCTAATATCTTGTGATTAAGCTTGATTTTTTTTGTAATTATTGTGAGTTAAGCGGCGGTGATAACTTTAGCACGTCGGACAGGATAATGAAAAATAGTCTGAAAATGTTTACAAAAACTATAGTATCTAGCGAACGAGAATGCCTGCCATTGATGCCATCGCCTACCATTGATGCCAACTCGTGAGAAATTTCCCGATTCGTGGTAAACTTCGAGATAAAAAGGAAAATGGAAACTTTAACCTAAAACACCATATTCGTGGGAAATGTTAAATTCATGTATTATTCTTAAAAAAATAGTCTTTTATAATGATAAACGATACCTTACTTTGAAAACCCCCTAAGTTCAATTTTTTACAAAAGTTATGAGCTATTTAGATAAACCTCATAGTCTTTATCTACATAATCGTCATGTCAGATAACATCGAATTATTGTGATTATTGGGTTATCTGTGGACAATTTTTTCCACAATTAACAGGAATAGAGGGGTCTTGTGCAGAACAGGTCCCCACGAAATCGTGGTTTTTTTAATTTTTAATGTGGATCCCATAGTTAATGGAATGGTTTAAAAGAAAAAAAATTGTTGGATGAACCACTTTTTCTACGAAAAAAAATAATTGAAAATTCCAAATTTTCACTACATTTCAATGCGAAAACTCCCTATTATAACCTTCATAAAGACAGTAAAATACAAGGTTATGCACAGTGTTGCCATACTCACCCTGTGTAAAATCGACGAAAACGTTCTACTTTATATTCATTTTTTTTACATTTATACGCACTTTAAGAACACGAAAAATTAAAAATATAATAAACGAGGCAAAACAAAAACACTATAAAAATAAATTGACAATAAAATCATTACACAGTATTTAGCACAATTGTTTAAAAATATATTTTTCCCGGATTTGTTCAGTAAGATTCCGAAATGGATGTGATCTGCGTACTTCCAAACACTCCCCACCAACCTAACCTAACCAATGCATTAACACCCCCAAATAACCAGGCTAACCAATGCATTAACACCCTCCAAATAACCAGACTAACCAATGCATTACCACCCTCCAAATAACCAGAATATCTAACCTAACCTAACCTAACCAATGCATTAACACCCCCAAATAACCAGGCTAACCAATGCATTAACACCCTCCAAATCACCAGGCTAACCAATGCATTAACACCCTCCAAATAATCAGGCTAACCAATGCATTACCACCCTCCAAATAACCAGCCTATCAACCTAACCTAACCAATGCATTAACACCCCCAAATAACCAGGCTAACCAATGCATTAACACCCTCCAAATAACCATGCTAACCAATGCATTACCACCCTCCAAATAACCAGGCTAACCAATGCATTAACACCCCCAAATAACCAGGCTAACCAATGCATTAACACCCTCCAAATAACCAGGCTAACCAATGCATTACCACCCTCCAAATAACCAGGCTAACCATTGCATTAACACCCTCCAAATAACCAGGCTAACCAATGCATTACCACCTTCCAAATAACCAGGCTAACCTAATTGAGCCTAATGACAAAACTTCATTGATTACGCGTCGAAAAACAGTATATATTAAAAAAACTTATATTTTCGTAGAACCTGAAAAATCCGCAAATTTTATTTCAGAAATTGCTTTAAAATAATCCACACTAACGAATAAGCTACTAGACAGTTCAATTTTTGTTGCACTAAAGTGATAACTTACCGTTTTAAGTCCCTCCACAACAACTTTATTTCAGAAGAAAATCATATAAAGTAATTTTATTGACAACGTCGCAAATTCTATGCGAAGGCCATAGATGACATACCGATGATCGATTAACTGTCAATCGAAAAAGTCATAAAATTGCTAGCTTGAGCTGATGTAAATAAATATATTTTCTTAATTTTATGCTTACAAAGAAGATTCGTTACATTTTTGTGCTTAAATTAGATCATTCCACGTCTATATAAGGTAATAAAGTACTAATATGTGATGTTTTTACTGAATCCGTGTAGAAAATTTAACATATTTACTGTCCGTCGCCTGTACCTAAAATACGTTTTTTTGCCGCTTTTTAAAGATAAAACACATTCATCCAACAATTTTTATGCTTAAAAATATTCAGTTTAAGATAATCTTGCAAAAAAATCCCAAAAAAGTGTTAAATGCGTGGGGACCTATTGTGCACCAGAGCCGGAATAGAGCTCATCTGAAAAAGTTTTTTTGTTTCTCCTGTGAAAACAGGTTGTGGGTACATACGAAGTTTTCAAGTTAAGGTATTGTAAAGCATGATCGCAACTAAATACATCTAAATCTCTCACTCGGTAAAAATAAAACTTACATCGGCATCGCCTACACACAAAGCAGAAAGTAGACCACCTAGGAATTATATTTTTAAATATTCTGTCAACGAGATCCGTTACAGTGACAGTTGTGTCTCTTATTTTAATTAACAGGTAAATTGTATTTTCTGTAATTTTTTGGATGTTTCCCTGGCTCTTCCAATTCATTCGTTTCGTCGGATCAGCCGCAGTTACTGGGTAGTGGGTTTGAGTTAGTTAGGCAGGGACGTATTTGTGGTGGTTCTGTTGGACGTATTTGTGGTGAAATCTTTCGATAATGTGATTTTTGTGATTTGATAATGTTAATGTGTGGTTAAATAAATTATTTTTCGTGAAGGCAGTATAATGTCTAGTTCCCCGATGAAAGCATAAATGAACAGAAACGAAAGCTCCCCCCTCCGAATATTGTCCCTTGACACTACACTTTCTTGATAACATACAGAAAGATTTGATACATAGTGAAGAAAGCTGTAATGATGTGGAAGCTTTCAATAGAAATGTTAATAGTAATGATAATATAGTACTAAATATAAATATTAGGAGCATAGATGCTAATTTTGAAAGCCTAGAAATTTTTGCCAAACCAAACCAAACCTTTTTATATTTGTTGTACTGAATCTTGGAACATTGTAAATAATAATTTTTATAATTTGGCAGGCTATAGAATGTATTACAATGAAAGTAAGTTAAATAGGGCTGACGGTGTTGTTATCTATATAAAAAGTGATATCATAGAGGAAACTGAAATTATCGAGGTTAATAAATTAAATATAATAAACACTTCTATCAAAATGAATAATGGTAACAACATTGAAATATCGGCTTTATATAGATCTCATAGTATAACCAAAGCTGAATTTATTTATAATTTAAAATCATATTTAAATGAAGTTAAAAAATATAGAAATCACTTTGTGGTTGGTGATTTCAACATTGATTTGCTAAATGTGATATTTACTCGCAAGAATTTTTAAATAATTTTCTTGAAATGGGGTTTGTACCAGGTTTCCAGAACACCACTAGACCATCGAATACAGAAAATATTAGTGGGACTTGCATTGATAATATTTTTTATAAAATTGATAACTTAAATGTAAAAACTTATACAATTAAAAATACTATAACGGATCATTATACTCTACTTGTTAAAATAAAAAAGAATAAACTATTTCAAGAAATAAAACAAACTAAAAATTTTAATATAAACTACAACATATTATTGAACAATGCATGTTACACTAACTGGAATGAAGTGTACAATATGAATGATCCAGATGTTGCTATTAATTTTCTAATCTCGAGCATTAAAAATTGTATTAGTAATTCAATGATTGTGAACAATAAGAAAACGAGACATAGAAAGAACTGGATTACTAATGATATTATACAATTATGTAATAAGAAAGATAAACTGTACCATGAGTGGATTAAAGATAGAAGCAATGATGAATTAAAATTAAAGTACAAACAATTTACGAATAGGCTAAGTATAATTATTAAACATGCTAAAATAAATTTTGATAAGAATCAAATTAGAAACAACGCTAATAACACAAGAAAACTGTGGGATTTTGTAAATGCTAAAATATCAAAGAAAACCAAAAAAGAAACAAAGATTGACTATTTAATAAACGAGAACAACCAAAAACTTACTGACAACTTACAGATAGTAAATACAATTAATAATTATTTTAGCTCAGTTGGAAGAAAATTGAGTAATAAAATAGTAAAGCCACTGGATCAGTCATTGAGAATGCCAAAATTAAATAAGAAAACTATATTCATAGAACCTACCAGTCCTATAGAGATTTATAATATAATTACTAAATTTGAATTCAAAAATGGTGGAGTCGATATGATCAATACTAAAGTATTAAAAACCATTGCTGATTTTATAGTAGAGCCACTAAGTTACATATTCAACTTATGCATCGAGAAATCGACTTGGCCGGTAGCACTTAAATTAGCTGATATAGTTCCCATACATAAAAGTTCAAGTAAATCTATGGTATCTAACTACAGACCTATCTCTTTAATCTCGAATATTGCAAAAATTTTTGAAAAAATTGTTCATTCAAGAATTTATAAATTTATTATAAATTGTAATATTTTATCTAAAAAACAATTTGGTTTTATTAAAAGAATAGGAACTGCAGACGCTTTAAATCATATAACTAACATCATTTATAACAAATTAGACAAAAGCAAACCAGTATTAATAACTTTTTTAGATCTGGCAAAAGCCTTTGACACGGTAGATCATGGTATATTATTGGATAAGCTTTCATGTATGGGAATTAGAGGCAAGGCCAATGAACTAATGAAAAGTTATCTTGAGCATAGAAAGCAGAGAGTTAAAATTAATGATTATATAAGCGAGAATAAAGATGTAACTATTGGAGTGCCTCAAGGAACTATCCTTGGGCCATTGATGTTTATTTTATATGTAAATGATTTATTAATTGGCATACAGGATGGTTGTATAATATCGTATGCAGATGATACTGCAATCATTGCTACTGAGGACACTTGGGAGCAAAGTATTAAAAAAATGAATGAACTACTAGATAAGGTTGCAAATTGGCTTGCACTTAATAAACTGTCTTTAAATATTGATAAGACTGTTTTCATGACTTTTGGAAATTACTCAGATAGTGTTCCTAAATTAGTTGAAATAAAAATTAAAGACATATATGTAAAAAGAGTTGATTGTTGTAAATATTTGGGTATTATTTTTGACTCTAATGTAAAATGGGATAAACAAATTGAATATCTGATTAGCAAGACTAAATATTTAATTTTTGTTTTCTATAAACTAAGAAAATACATGGATGTTGAAATGCTTAGAACAATTTATTATGCCTTCTTTCAAAGTGTTATTAGTTATGGTATTATAGCATGGGGTGGTGCTTATGATAACTATTTTACGCTATTAAATACATTACAGAGAAGAATACTGAAAGTAATCAACAACAACTCTTTTGTAATAGACAAAAATCCATTAAGTATTGAACAAATTTATAACTTAGAAGCAATAACTTTTCACTATGAGATCTTAAAAAACAAATATATAAACTCCAAAAGTATTACAAGAAACAAAAACATAATTATACCAAAAAATAGCAAAAGAATAAGTGATAAAGACAGTTACATTAAAGCGATAAAAATTTTCAATCTCTTACCAACTGAATTGAAAAATTTAACAGTGGAAAAGAAAAATTTGAAGAGAACTATCAGGTTTTGGCTAAAGCGGAATACTGATCGCCTGTAGCTTAAGTTATAAGTAATTGATCTTTATTTTTGTTTGTATTTATATTTATTTTTGTTTCATACTTCTTAGTTTTTTAGTTTTTTAGTTTTTAGTTGTTAATTTTTTAAGTTAAACCGGTCCGCGTACAGAGCTCTGTCTCTCTGCGGTTTATCATGTATTTCTACATTGTAAATTAACTGGTATTAATAAATAAATAATAAATAAATAAACTATAAAAATGATTTTGAGTAATTCGTGGGAATTTTAAGACAAAAATTAAAATTTTGACTCTGTCTTATTTCGGAAATTCTAGTTTGGATAGTTGGCAACACTGGGGCCTGCACACACTGCCACAAAATGCTCTGGACCTCAAGGTTAAACAAAATAAACGCAAGTAAGTTCCTCACTGCGTAAGCATACATGTCAAAAGATACGTTTACGTATACGTCTTTGGTCGTGTTTTAACTGTCTAATATTTCATCAAATCTCAATTATCAATTATTCCAAATGAATTCAATTTACTATTTACTCAAACAAACCAGGAAAATTAAAGAGAGGATACGTCTAAAATTTATGTCGAGAAAAGCAGTTGTGCGCATGACACAACCATTCGACAGAAATGAGCGTAATTTTTCTTCACTCAGCCCAAAAGCCAGCTGCCAAGACTGGGCAGTATAAGCTGCGGCATTTGGAACGTGACAGTCACAAAGCGCTCTCAGAAGATGAGGTCTGTGGAACGCACTTACTGTGAGCATTTCTTAAAAATATACCATTCTGGCAAGCGAAACTTTGGGTCGGCGTTTGCATGTATAGGAGTAAATCGCTATGGCAATCTAGTAAGTCAGAGAGAACAAAAATGCGAAGTATTTATTATATAACCACTTAACTCGATGCTAGATTTCATGCGCTTGGGAAAATACTTAGTTATCGGCACCCAAGGTCAGAAATGACGACCCTAGTACCTACCGTATGATCGAATAAAAACGGCGTCAGCGATGGCTATGAAATGAAGATCGCTGTCATTTTATATGTAAAATTATATGGGAAATGTCATCGATTGTCATTCCATAGCCATCGCTGACGCCGTTTATATTCGATCATACGGTATAATTTTACATTATGAAAAAAAAAATACTACGATCTATGTAAAGTACACTATATGCTAAGTAAAGTATACTACCTTTATTTTTTAGAATAATATGTATTTCATGAATCAATTAAAAACAATCGGAGATGACAGGTCATTCACATTATTATGTTAGTCCACATTCGTTCGCTCGAAAGACGATGCAAGGAATGATGAATGCAAGGTTAGAAACTTGTCGCACCCGGTACTTCTATAGCTGTAATAAAATATATATTTCCTTCTCTAATAGGCTTAGTGCATTTCAACCGATTTTTAAAAATTCCGACAGCAGCGCTCACTATGGCAGAAATCAGAACTGTCAGGCTATTTATTTCACGCGGTCCCGGTTATCGTTCATGTTGATCGCATTGAAATAATATTGAAATCATGGCTATGTCGTAATATTTAAGCTTTTTTTTGTACTAGTGCAGTTTTTGAAACTACATATAAACTTTTCAGGTACGAAGTTTGTGTGATTTAATACTGTTTCGGGTAGTAAAAGCTTTGTGTTGTGACAATTTCATATAATAAAACTGCCGAAAAATGTCAACACAATTTTCTATCATAAAATAATTTAATGTAATATTATATGATTAAACAAAGAACGGGATTCTCCGGTGGAGGAAGCACCAACCGAGAATGCACCAAGCCTGTATAATACTTTGATTTAAAGACAAAGCAGAGAATGCTTTGTCTGAGAATGCACCAAGCCTGTATAAACCTTTGATTTAAAGACAAATCAAAATAAAACACTAAATCACCACAATACACCAAAACACTAACTTTTACTTTTACACTGTACGCGCCATTCGCTAACCATATTAGCATCATCAGCAGATGATTATAAACTAGGTACATCATCTGCTGATGATGCTAACATGGTTAGCGAAACGCGCGTCCAGTGTAAAAATAAAAGTGTTTTGGTGTATTGTGGTGATTTAGTGTTTTATTTTGCTGTGTAACACCAAAGGTTCCAACCCCCCACTGTAATAATTTAAAGACAAAGTTATAAATGAAGTTATATACAAACAGATACATAATAAAATAGCAAAAATTTAGAAAAATTCAATACAACTCACCCAAAATATTTTTTCTAGTCATTACATGCATGATTTCTTAAACAACTAGAAAAGAGAAGATTTTTAAAAATTATAAAGTGAAACAATATACTGTTTTGATACCAAGTACTATTTTAAAATTCATTCAAGAAAATTCAATTGAAACCAATTCAACTGAAAATTTCAATGCAATTTACAACACAACATTTACAACAAGATCTGTTAATGTACTGAAAAAATTATCATAATTCACTCTTCGATAAGTACTGTTATAATTGACATCGATACCAAACCAAACCAAACATTAAGGTACAGACAGACTGAGAGCGTCGAGCGTCACGTCTGCGTCGCGTCGAAATGGAATCAATTTGCTCAACTTAAATTAGACCGTTCAAGCAGAAAGGTGTTACGCAAGCGTCCGCTGAGCGTGGGGCCTCGAGTTCACTCTGAATTGGTTTTCGGCGAGATTTGTAGCGTTCGGTGGCTCGAAGTCACCAAAGTCCAGGCAAAACCTGCACTGCAACACGCAAAATTGTCACAATATAGAAATATAAACGTGCGTAATCGGCTATTTAAAGAAATTATATCTATATTCAATATTTTTGAAATTTATAATATCTTATATTAGTTAGGTTCTCCAACTTTTTTGTAAATTATTTAAATGTTACACTCTCGTGTGTAACTCTCATTAGAGCCATTTTATAAACTAAAAATGTAAAAACAGCCTCACAAGACGCTGGACTAACGCCTCCAGCCTGAACACATCGAGGCGACGCGAACGCGACACAAACGCGACGCGACGCTCTCAGCCTGTACGTATCTTTAGTTTTACAGAAGCGACAGTGTGTCGGCTCAGTCAAACTCAGTTATATTTTACTCTGAAAAAATGTCTAGAGAAAAGGACAGAGAACAGTGTGTCGGCTCAGTCAAACTCAGTTATATTTTACTCTGAAAAAATGTCTAGAGAAAAGGACAGAGAACACCATAAATGAGTATGAGACCAGAATCGAAAGAGACCTTTAAATACACTGCCAAAAAATAATAGTTTATATATTTGTAATTGTACAGTGCCGAAATTTAGTAAAATCAAATAAAAAAACAGTTTAAAATTATACCTGGGAAAGGCATTTAAGTCTCTGTCCTTTCTTTAACGTTTTGATATGAAATACACATAAAAATGTAAATAAAAAGAGGAAGGAATGGCATTTCCCCTAACCTACCATTTCAATTATGTTGGCATAAATCTCGATTTCTACACAAAATAAAAATTCTCAATAAAAAGACAAATACTTATGAAAACCTTTACTAATTGAAAAAGCAGTGTAAAAACTAGTTTTTAACATTATTTTCTTACATGCATCCCTGATATTAACCATCAACTAATCAAAATTTGACGACCGGAGTTATTAAATTTAGATCATAAAGTAGGACAAATAAACTAGCTTAAAATTTGGTTCACAAAAAGCTGTTATTTTAGTATAGTTAGGTAATTCTGTACTCTGATTATATCTACCTGGGTTGGATAATTCTGATACAGCATTAAAGCAGAGCACATTTCTGGCAGGGCCACAGGAATAGACTTCAAACGTTCTGAAAAACAAGTCAACGTTTTTCCAGCTTTGTCTCTTAAGTCCTCGCGTTTCAAATAATTCGCCAATCGAATCAAATTATGCACAGCCATCGAATTACCACATGGTTCCGCCCCATCCTGATCTGTTAAATAAATTATACAAAATATTAAAACATTTAATAAATATTATTAAATCATGTTCCTACCTTCTTTGCCTCTGATCAAAATGCTACCATCACCAGCTGGACTATTAAAATATCCAAAATTCTTCTCATCCCAAAACAAGGCATCCTGTTGTTCTTGTAAAGTTTCAGCCCATTGTAACCAATCAGCATCCAGAGATGCTTCATACAGATCTAATAAACCTCTGATCAAGAAGGCATAATCATCCAAGAAGCCTTGAACAGGTATTGCACTAAAAGTAGCAAAATTCTCATTAAAAATATATACAAGGTGTACCAAAAAAAGTTTGCAACAAATGAGATTTCTTATTATTTAGTTATCGAAAAAATGTTTTTTTAAGGAGAATCTTTTTGCTTCAAAACTCAAAAACATTTTGATATTTATTCTGAATAACTTGTTTCTTTGATTTTTTTGAAATTTGTCACCTGACTCCACTTTTAGCATATTGAAAGAGGATTTTGCTAATTTATAAAGATATGCGACTGGTCACTTCATCTGCGTGGTCTGTCTTTTAATGCATGCGACAGAGATAAATATAAATGACCGGTTGACAGACAGAGACAAAATAAAAAGCGGCATAGTGTTGCCGGTTTTTACGTTTGTAGGAAAATATGTGTAGAAAAAAAACTATTTTAAAAACTTTCATATATACTACTGAGATGAAGATGATATATCTAAGCTAATATATAATCTATTACAGCTGTAGTAAAATGAGTAACTAATTGTGAAAAATAAAGTTCCAACTCTAGATGCAATTTTTCGTAAACGCCTTCTTGTGCGGTTGGAAATTTTGATGCAAAATTCGACAATACCGCATGCAAGAAATGTATCACCCAGCTTTTATCTCTTTTTAATAAATAAATAAATGCCTTTATTGTCAAAAATTTTTACAATTTGTAGACAAAGGTAAAGTAAACAAACAAGTAAACAAACAAGGTACACAAAAAAAAACAAACAAAAGCTAATACAAAACATTATACAAATAATATTGTCTGTCTTATTGTTTAAAATAAACATTTATAAATGTTTACAATGTCAAAGAATAAAAAAAATTAAAACAATATTCAAAAATATTTAGTTAGTTTATAGTAAATATCAATGAACTCTATACAGCAATAGCAAACATTAGACCAGTGTTTACAAGATCAAATTCGATTATCAAAATATAATTCATTTACGACGTAGAAAGCCTTGTATAAGAGTTCAATGCTTTGCAAAATGAAAAAAATGATGTTATGGATTTGATTTCAAATGGCAGGTGATTGTGCATTTTTTTCGAGTTGTATAATATTGAACTTTTAACTAACTCTGAGCGTGGGGTAGATAGATAAAGATCTTGCTCCGCGTTCTTGAGTGGATAAGTGTGAGATGGCCTTTCTTGAGAAACTGATACATGCTTACGTATTAGGCAAACGGATTCAAATATAAATAAGGAAGAGTTAATATTTTTAATTTTTTAAAAAAGTACTGGCAATTAGTTCTGCTATTTAGTCCCAGTGAAAATCGAATAGCTCTCTTCTGGAGCTTGAAAATGCGGTCAAATTGAGTCGCACAACACGTACCCCAGAATGGAAGGGCATACCTGAGGTGCGACTCAAAAAGTGCATAATAAACAGTTCTAGCCACTGACAAGTTAAGCTCCTTAGAAACAGATCTTAATGCAAAACAGGCAGAGCTCAATTTTTTCGACAAAGCTTCGAATACATTTGAATTTCCATTAAGCTGTCTACATCACTGTCTTACACGTTAAAATCCAAACCATGCAGTTTCGATGATCAGATCGGTATAAAAAATATTTTTAGCTTTTTCTTGTTAGGTGTCTTGAAGTAATTCCGCATAAACTTTTTTTAATAACTCAATAATAAAATAAAATCCCATTTGTTGCAAACTTGTTGGCGCACCCTTTATATTAACCACTTACGTTTGAACAACATCTTCATTTTCTCCTTTATAACAACATCTTAACAAAATCTTATTATCATGATCATATAAAAACTTTTTGATAAAGTTAGCAGCTTGAATGGCACGATTTATATACGCTTCGTTCTTCAAAACAAAACCAGCCTTCGCAAAACCAGATATCATCAACCCATTCCAAGAAGTGACTATCTTGGTATCGGTATCAGGTTTGGGCCTTTTTTGACGTTCCTCATATAGAATTTTATGAGATTTGGCAAGAATATCCTTTAGAACTTCGACGGTTATGTTAAACTTTTGTGCTGTCGATTCATAGGAACCAAAGCAGCTGAGAACATTTTTCTTTGTTAACTCGCCATGCGGATCTTGTGAAGATTTGACGTTGCCTTCCGGTTTGACGCTGTAATGATGAATAATGACGTCGGAATGTTTAACGCCGTTGGTTTCCTGATCTAGTAGATTGACGATATCGTCATATTCCCAAACACAAAAAGCTCCTTCTTGTTTATGTGCGGCCCCTATTAAATATTTGTTAATCAGCAAATGTTTCCATTTAGTTTATTTTTTTAATTATATTGACTGAGTATCTTGCATACCATGTGATTCTCTAAGAGCTCGAACTCACTGACGACCAGGTCGCAACGAGCCGTCGCGTCGGCTGGCCGGATGTAGGTATTGCCACAGATTACACAGATTATAATCTTTGTTTTTTCTTTATTGTTTTTCGGTGTTCCAATTTTCGGAATCGGGCACTAGTTAGGTGACTAGTTTGCGCACATAGCACGCCCACTTATGGCCTCTAAAATTGTGCACAGCGCCTGACCGGCATAGTTATTAGAGAGATATCGGAAAACCGAATAGCGGCATCCAGTATTTACGCGTACCTTATCATGGTTACGAGTCAATTTTTAACGCAACACCCGCTAATAACGTTACCGCCTGACGTAATTTGCGGATCAATTACACCAAGCGCTCTTTCTAAATAACCTCTGATAACGTTTAAAAATTACTTAAATGGGCATGTGCGGAGTATTTGACAACCGGAGCCGGCCGGCGAGATCTTTTATTTTAGGTTATGTTTGAATTGTTTTGAATTATCGCTTTAGTTTTGTTAGGTAATTTGATATTTAAGTAGCTGGGATTAGTTTTAATTAAATAAATATGGCCCAAAATATGGATTCCACCTCTTCCAATACTAAAGAACCTATAAAGAGTCTTAGGTTTACAGCAGATGACGACTTAGCCCTTCTAAGAGAATCTGTTGCTTGTTGCCCTAAACCCACTGGCAGACGTTGAACAATAAAACACTGGAAATAAGCACTTTAGCCTTTTAGTTTTAAAATACCTAGTAAACTAAACAATTTCAAAGTTTTAAATTCAAAGTTAGGTTAAGTTTAAATAGCGGACGCGACGCGATCAGAATTCTTTCCGATCCGATAACTATAAATGAAGAGAGTTAATACCACCTCACATAAAGGAAATAACACCTGGCCTTATTAACGTCCATGCACGCTATTCGGTTTAGCGATATCTCTCTATTACGCTGTTTATTGTTATTTTACGGGAGTTTATTTTTGCGCACAGGAAATTTGACTCGTTTGCACATCGTCATAAAAAACAACTTTCGTACCACGAATTAGGGACAAGATTTTTATCTGTATACTTATAGGATACCTAATCTGTGGTATTGCGTTTATAGCTGCGGCCAGATGAACGACCAGTTTCAACAGAGTTGTCTGATCTAACGATTTACGTTTTACCAATTAGAAAATATTGTGTCAGAAAGAATTAAGTTTCAAAAATGTTAAAATATCCGAGTTCACTAAAAACCGAAGTTGCTATTCATGAGCTTATTAAATGTTCTAATATTAAATAATGCATTTAAAATATTCTTGGATTTTTCGTTAATAAATACTGGTGTGGTAAATGGAGTAAGTAAAATCTCTAACCCCGACTACACGATAACGTCGTTATTTCCATGTTTTTCAAATCCGCGATGCCTACTATTCCATCAGTCGTTTCATAACAGAATATTTTACATCCTACGTCTATGTAATTTAAAATGTGTAGAGTGAGACATGTAACTCGTGAGATTTTCAGCATTATATCAATAAAGGACAAAAACAGTATTGTTCCTAAAGGTGCGTCCAAGCATTTTAGCCCGAACGAACCAAGCGCGCACGAACAAGCAGAACTAATAGGCCGAACAAAAAGCATTGTGTACGCGCGACCGACAAAAAGGGAGATATTCTGTTTCTTTTTTCTACTGATGGCTCTTATCGACTTTGGAAGTAAACATATTAGGGCCATCGTAAAAAAAGGTCGTCAGACACTGGCTCTAAATATAAGCAGGTAGAAAGTTTAGCTTCCAGTTTTTTCAATGTATACAATATAAATTCCTCTTTTTTATTGTTACTGAGAATCTACAATAGTAAATATTCAATCTTCTATTTTTATGAATGTTTAAGTTACTTTTACTCTTTAGTTATTTTTTTTTAAATAATGTACCTAGTAGAAATATAGTATAATGGACCCTGTTTGAAAAACGTTAAATTAAATATAATATTTAAAATACAGTTGTCCTCCTTGTACAGGGTGGGTCAAATTCGACGCTTTTAAATGGAAACACCCTTTTCTATAGGAGATAGAGAAAAACTAATATCGGTGTCTGGAGCTCAATTTTAGTCAAAAACATGATGGTGAAAACCGCATATCGATATCTGTTACCGTTCCGGAGTTACGGGGTGTTTTTCAAAAATATGCATTTTTAACAAATCGCTGTAACTTTTTTGCTATGGAAAATTTTGTATTTTTGTGAAAACATTTCCGAGGCACCTTTTTACGTAGAATTTAATGGTTTAAGTATAATTTTTTTAAAAGTAATAATTTAAGAATTATCAACAGAAAATTTGATTTTTTATATGGGACACCCTGTATATTTTTAATTTATTGAAAAGAATTTAAAATTACCTTTCCAAAAATATAACACACTCGATATTTTGTTCGATTCCTCTTAGAGATATAGAGTATATAAAAATTCGCCCGCTTTAAATAAGTAGGCTTTGAACGGCACCGGCTGTAATGCAAAAAAATTCTAGCTGTGAGCATCAATTAAAACGAAAATAATATTTGCTATGAGAGATGCACAATTTTATAACAAAATAAAATATATTTAACCAACATGAATACGTTTAAACTATATCTAATAACAATAAAAATAAATAGCAAACCAAGACATGAGATTTTGCTACAAATGTTCGACATATCAACCGTCTTCTGTTATGAACAGACGGGGCAGTTTTTGAACATTTCTCGCGGAATTCATTAACTCAGTAGGGGTGAAAGATACCCTCTCATAACTCCAAAGTATTTCTAATTCTTGTCTAGATTATACGGAAGAATAAGGAACCTTTATTCATCCGCAAATATATCCATAGGATTAGATCCATGGGCACTAAGTCAGGCGGCCTCGACGGCCAACGGCTGGGATCTTGGTTAGCTACTCAATTATTCTTGAAATTAGCTGCAAAAATTTGCTGATAACTTAAGCGTTCAGAGGCGTTGCGTCGCCTTCCTAGAAAAATGTGTTTTCGAGTTCCATTAAAGGCATGTCAACACTAAGGGGTCCAAAGCCTACTAGTTAAAAGTGGCGAACTTTTAAAAATTCTGTATTTCGAAGGAAATTATAACAAAATATCAGGTGTGCTATATTTTTGGAAAGGTAATTTTAAATTCTTTTCAGTTAATTAAAAATATAGAGGGTGTCCCAAATAAAAAATCAATTTTTCTGTTGATAACTCTTAAATTATTAATTTTAAATAAATTATACTTAAACCCCTAAATTCTAAGTAAAAAGGTGCTTTGGAAATGTTTTCATAGAAATACAAAATTTTCTATAGCAAAAAAGTTACAGCGGTTTGTTAAAAATGCTCATTTTTGAAAAGCATCCCGTAACTCCGAAACGGTAACAGATATTGATGTGCGGTTTTCACCATCATATTTTTGATGAAAATTGAGCTCCAGACACCGATATTAGTTTTTGTCTATCTCCTATAGAAAAGGGTGTTTCCATTTAAAAGCGTCGAATTTGACCCACCCTGTACATGACTACAATACAACTAAAAAAACTAATTTAATAAAAAAAACAAGTGGTTGTAGAAAAACTTTAAACATGATTTTTTTATTTTTTATTAAAATATTTTGAATTTTTAGTAGAATCGACCCTTATAAAAAAAAAGGACTAGATTTAAGTCTCCCTTTGATCCAGTCTGTATACTATTTCTTTGGATTTTCTGCACGTGTGCAAAAACTACACTAAAACGCTATATCTTATAGAAAATAAAATATTGTGCATTGAATTTGAGGGATTTCATCTGAAAAATTATTAATTTGGAAGAAAACCGGCAACAAGTGGCAGAAAATAATATTTTAGTGCAGTCTACTGGTCGCAACGACCAACGGACGGCCAGGACGTTAGTATGCGCTGTATCATTTGATTTAATGGTTTTAGAGGTACCGACCTGGTGGTCAGTGTGTTCCAGCTCTAACTTGCAATAAATGCGGTACTTAAATAAAAAATTGTTCAGAAATATGGTCAAACATGTTGGTTAGTATAATAATTTGCGCCCTTTTTTGATGTAAGAAAACGTGCAGCATGTCCCAAATTTAAGATATGACATCACCAAGACTTTTTCTAAATGAAACCCCATTTTATTCTTAAAGGATACATCAAAAGTTATATAAGTGTATAATATCAAATTTTAATTCCTATGAAAACTGAGTCAACTGTTAAGCTGTTGAAGGAACTAATAAGACAGCAGCGAAGGTTAAAAAGAATGTTGAAACTAAATTTATTTAAAATTACCTTCGTGTGGATAAGAATCAGCGTCTTGAGCTCCATAAAATCCTCCCAAAGGGTGACTCAGATCTCTTGAAACATAAGTCAAAATATCATTAGCAACATCAGCATAAAACTGGTCCTTAGTGACAACATAAGCGTCACAATAAGACACCGCCAATTGAGCTTGATCATACAGCATTTTTTCAAAATGAGGAACATGCCATCTATCATCAACTGAATATCTAGCAAAACCTAAACAAAAAAATAAAAAGGATGTTGACAATCATATAGTGTACTGAGCATTTTTTTAATCATGAAGTAATTCTCTAAAAACTCCTGACTTACCAGTATTAACATGATCATGGATTCCTCCATAAGCCATTTTTTTCAAAGTGTGCAGGCACATTTCCAAACACTGAAAACCCCGTTCAGAATCCTTCTCACTGGCATAAATGTGAAACAGAAAGTTAAAATTTGATGGCTGTGGAAATTTTGGAGCAACTGAAAATCCTCCAAAGTCAGCCTCATAAGCCCTGGATAACTGAAGGGCACATTTCTTCCAGCAATCTTCGTGTGGCACGTCTACTGGCTCAGATGATGTTGAAGCTTTGTCTGAAGACTTTGTAGCTTTTTGCAACACATCAAGACAATGTTTTCCTGGCAACAAAACAACACATTTAGACCATTTAAGATTAATACATACAGAAAATTATACCTGATTTCATCAATGTATTCCTGTTTGTTTTCCACTGATTTGACATGGTGAGCAGGACAGTTTTAAATCCTGGTCGGCCATACTTTGTATCTTCTGGAGGGAAATATGTTCCACCAACTATTGGCTCCAAGTCAGGTGTTAAAAAAACTGACATGGGCCATCCACCACCACCAACTGTGGCCTGAATAAATGACATATACAATTTATCAACATCTGGTCGCTCTTCCCTATCAACTTTTATGTTAACAAAATGTTCATTCATTATTTCTGCTACAGAATTATTCTCAAAAGATTCTTTTTCCATTACATGGCACCTAAAAGAGATTTTATAAAATACCTAATGCAAAATCAGATATTCTTCAATGATTACCAGTGACATGTGGAATATCCTACAGACAAAAATATGGGCTTGTTTTCTGCTTTAGCTTTATCAAAGGCTTCTTCTCCCCATGGATACCAATCGACTGGATTTGTTGCATGTTGTAAGAGGTAAGGACTTTTTTCATCAGCTAATCGATTCAATTTTTGATGCGTAGCAGAACTAGCTTCGGCCATATTTCGAATATTATTAATATTTAATGACTTGGTTGCTAATATACTAAAAACGAATTTATATTTAATTAATAATGTACTTATTACAAGTAATTCATTTAAAAAATCATTTAACATTACAATTTTACATAGGATCATATTTAAATATTTATAAATTTTTATTCATTCCGAAGTTGCATAAAAACTACTTAATTAATTTTAATAAATTCATTGGGGAAATCAACGAGACGTGACATTTCGGACGTAAACATACCGTTGTAAACAGATCAACTTATTTTGAAAATAACGCATACCTCAATCCTACATTCCTTGGAGATGTACCGTAAAAATTATTACAGGTTTTAAAACATATAGGATCACATTTAAAACTTCCAGCTTTGCGAAAAACACTGTACCAAGTATTCAAGTTCTGAGCGATCCTTGGCAAAATCATTATCGATATGTGCACACCGAAAAACACACCATTTCCCAGATGCGACGTTTATATAACTACACTTCACTGTATTTAAATTTAGAAAAAAAGTGAAAGCATTAGAATTTAGTTTTTAGATAATATACCGAGCAGAGAAAACTATTTTTTTGACATGAGCATGTTTACAAAATACAAAACTACAGATGATGATCACGTGATCACGTATTACTGGTTACATAAATATGCGAAAAATCATGGAAAAATAGAGTGGATATCTGTCCGCAAATAGAGGAATTAAAAATAAAATTTAAAAATACGCCGGTCGTCTTCCGTCTTCTATTTTTTTGTATCACTATTTTGACCTCTGTTTTGACTATTTAATTAATGAAAAATGAACAAGACTATTTAACCAACGAACAGATTAACACAAAACGTTTTCAACTGTACTTTTGTTTCTACAATTCTTTAGTCACGTAAACAAACTTTAACAGTCAATATCACTGAAGTGTTTTTTATTTGTTCTACAATAATAATTAAAAACATTCATTATTAAACCTAGTTATTAAACGTTTTTATGTCAATTGTATGTAAACTGATAGTTATTAAATTCAAAATAAAAGCCTTTGTTTATATAGTATAGATTATTATTACTATTTAGATATAAATAAAATAGTACATAAGATAATTTACAAAAACGTATTTTCTGACGTCAATGTTTCGTTAATTCTATTTGATTGAAGTTATAAGAAGCCTTGTCTATATTAAACTTTATATTAAGAAGTAATCTATGAGCGTATCGATTTGATTATAAATATTAAATAGGTATTTGTATATATTTTACACTAACGCACATCGCACATCCCAAAGTAGATATTTTTAAAATGTATTTCTAATAGTTACCTAACAACTTCCCATACGATATTTTCATAAGAATCAGAGATAACGAAAGAATTAAATTTAGGAAATAAATAATTTAATAGAGTATTTTACATGAAAATCATGTAATATAGACACTACGGAAAAGCGGCAACATCGGATTATTCTGTCAGAGCCGTCAGAGCGCCCAGAGCGCCATCTACAAAAGTTTTCTTTTTAAATCCCGTCCTGTAAAATTTCTTTTTGCAATTGAGAATTTGACACAGGAGGTTGGGTAAGTACAAAATTAAATTTAAATTTAATTTTAAAAGTAAAATAATTCATTTCTTCCAAAAATATTTACTGCACAACACAAATACTTTAAATAAATAACATAATTTTTAATAAAAGTTATGAGATATGTTAAGATTACTTAGATTTTTGAAGATTATTTTTTTGAGGTTATATGCCTTGTACTCTGGGCAAGGCGCTTTGCTTAATCATTGCAAGAGCTCCTAATCGTTCAAGGCAATATTATTACCATGTTTAATCCCAGAAAGTAACTCCTATTACTTATCTGATTCATGGCAAGGTAACAATTCTCGCAAAAATGTTACTTGCTCACGTGAAGTGTATGAAAAATACTTATTTTACATTTGTTTGCAGAGGAACCTTAATTTGCCATCATGGTGAACGGCAGAATTCCGTCGGTATGTTCAAAAACATACGTAACCCCTCGTCGTCCTTACGAGAAGGCTCGTTTGGATCAAGAATTAAAAATCATTGGAGCTTTTGGTCTTCGTAACAAACGTGAAGTATGGCGTGTGAAATACACTTTGGCTAAGATTCGTAAAGCTGCACGTGAACTGCTAACTTTGGAAGAGAAAGATCCACAGAGATTGTTTCAAGGTATGTAATTTAATTTGATATAAAATACATTATGCCCTGACGCCACGCTCCAATAATGCTTATGTGCTTATTAGGAGTGCCAGTTTTTACTTTTGTAAGGGCAAATAATAACCCGCTAGGAAACAGATAAGAATCTTTACCATGGTTTTATCTGTGCCGAAAGTTGAGGTAACAGTTATAATTTGGATAACTTTTGATTGAATAAAAAGACCAGGGAAGGAGTAATAAACAAAATAAGCTTTATTATTTTTACTGCTTTTATTTAATATATTATTGTTTATTTTAGGTAATGCACTTCTGCGTCGTTTAGTCCGTGTAGGAGTATTGGACGAAAACAGAATGAAACTTGATTACGTGCTGGGTTTGAAAATTGAAGATTTCTTGGAGAGGCGTCTTCAAACACAGGTGTTCAAACTTGGTCTAGCTAAATCTATTCACCACGCTCGCGTTTTAATCCGCCAAGGCCACATCAGGTAAACTATACGAAGATTGACTTATAACTTGACAGAAATAAATTCATAAAGGCCACTTAGTTGAAAAACTAATGTCTTGAAATAACACGCTCAGTGGGAAACTGAATCAGTAAGTGTCAGTAGGTTTATTAGTTAATTAATTTCAAAGTTATTGGCAGTGCCGAGTCTTAGAGTCACTAGCTAGGATTATATTGATGCTTGAGTTAGTGCTAAAGAAACTCGAATAGGAATGATACCAGCTTATGCCCCAAACTTGCACTTATTGCTTGTTTGGGTACCTTGTGAGGCGACAATGACTTTTAAAACTTATTAGGCTTAGTTAAAGGTGTCTTAAATACATTTTCTAAGATTAGGTTTTGAAATTACAGGGTCCGTAAACAAGTAGTGAATATTCCTTCATTTGCTGTAAGGTTGGACTCCCAGAAACATATTGACTTCTCACTCAAGTCGCCCTTCGGTGGTGGCAGACCTGGACGCGTTAAGAGGAAGAACCTCCGTAAAGGTTAGTAATATAATTTCAGAAGTTTTTTTCTGTATTTTTATCTATTCAATGATTTTGATTTTCAATATTTGTATTGAAAGTTTCCATATGAAAATTGTTTTTGTTTTTGAATGAACATTAATGTTGAATTTTAATTTCTTTAATAAGTTTTTTCGCAAATTAAATATAGTACAGATTTAATTTTATGAATACTATTTATTTACAAAAAAGATAATATTCTTATTTAATATATTAAAAATATGTTACTATAAATTTGAGTGTTTTACTAATTTTTAATTATTTTTCTAGGTACTACTAGTGGCGCTGCTGAAGAGGAAGAAGATTAAACTGTTAATTTATTTATGAAATAAATAAAGAGAAAATATATTAATTCTTTTATTTGTCTTTCTGTTTTTATGTAATTCATATATTAGTACATTTAAAAATCCAAGATATTTGATACCGTATAGTCGAAAAAAACGGCGTCAGCGATGGCTATGAAATGAAAATCGCTGTCATTTTTTATGTATATTTATAAGGGAAATGTCATCGATCGTCATTTCCCAGCCAACTGAACGCCGTTTTTTATCATACGGTATTTAAGCGCATTTTAACATGTCGAAAAAAAACGGCATCCAGTTGGCTTGGAAGTAAAGATCGATAACATTTCTCATATAAAATGATAGCGATCTTCATTTAATAGCTGTCACTGACGCGCCGCTTTTCGATAATATTGTACAGTATGGTCGAAAAAAAGGCGTCAGCGATGGCTATGAAATGAAGATCGTTTTAATTTACATAGGAAATATCGATCGTCATTTCCCAGCTAACTGAACGCCGGTTTTTTGTTAATAGCCAAAATTCGAATAAACCAATTTTCGCTCAAAAAATAAAATTAACAGCCACCAATTTGTCACAAATATCTACCGTATGATTGAATAAAAAGGGCGTCACTGATAGCTATGAAATGACGATTGATGACATTTCCCATATAATTTTACATAATATAAAATGACAGCGATCTTCATTTCATAGCCATCGCTAAAGCCGTTTTTATTCGATCATACGGTAGAATTTTTATATCTAAAAGAGTAACGGGTAACCCCCAATCAGTGCCTTCTATTAAAAGATCAGCCTGGGGGCGAGATTTATGACGTCACGCTAGTTAGATATAACGGATTAATAAATATGTTGTAGAATACATGGAAAACATAATTATTCCTCGGATTTTTGGTTTGTATTTTAAAAATGATATAGTTTAAATGAAATATACATAATATACAGTTAATAACTACAACATATATACCTATTTATAGTAATAAATACTTTGGCAAATAAACTATGAACCATACAAATGCAGCAAATGTTTTACAATGTACAAATAATGTATAGGTAATGGGTAAAATGTAAATATATTTTAAATTTTGGGGTTTGAAAATCGATCTAGTTTAACAAAAAACATTTAATATCTACTAATAGTGATGTATTATTATTTGCATTCACAAAATTTATATGTATATTTTGCAAGTATCAATGTTCGAAAAATTATATTTACAAATAATACAATATTATCTAAAAAGGCGTCAGCGATGGCTATGAAATGAAGATCGCTGGCATTTTATATGTTAAATTATTCTAAAATTTTTGATTTTCTTGGGATTTTTAGGTTCGGGAAAAACGCTGATTAAGTTTTCATTTGGGTTTTCATTATTTTTATTTGGTATTAAAAAAACGTTTCGGCTAACTATAGCCTTCACAGTGTTGTGTCATATGAGAAAAATAGTGTCGAATATAATCCAAAAAATTACATATACAATATAATTCACACCTCATAATGTTTACTGCAATTAATAAACTAATATAAACTTATCAAAAGATGACCACATATTTTTTAAAATTATTATTCTTAACACTAAAATTATCTACATTGACTATGGAGTACGCAGTAAACATTATGTGCGTGGTGTGAATATTTTATATGCAATTTTTGGATTATATTCGACACTATTTTTTCATATGACACAACACTGATGGAGGCTATAATGTTAGCCGAACCGTTTTTTTTTAAACCAAATAAAAATAATGAAAACCAAATGAAAAATCAATCAGCGTTTTTTCCTGAACCTAAATTCCAAGAAAATCAAAAAATTTAGAATATTTAGAATCAAGGTTCAAGAATATCAAATTTTCCAAGATTGTAAAATTCTAGTTAATTATTTTATGTGTACAGTTATTTAGGGAATGTCATCGATGTTCATTTCCAAGCCAACTAGACGCCGATTTTTTCGATGATACGGTATAATTCTTACGTAAAATGTAAATAACATTAGACCAATTAAAACAAAGAAATATGAATTTCTTAGTATTTTTAGTAACACCTTTATTCTTAAAACTTAATTTTGTATTATGCAAATATACCAATTTTATTGTTATTTTATTCATATTGTATTCAGCCATCACTTAAATATTTGATATTAATTTGGTATTATAAATAATCAATACTATTCATTAAAAATTACTGAACAAATATATGTTATGCTTAACATACATTACTTATATATTATCAAACAAAAACACATTCTTCTCTTAAACTGTATCAGTCTTGTCTTTACAAAAATCTTTTTTAAAATTTGAACTCAAAATAATAATCTTTTTCATGATCTCTAATACACATATTCTTTATTTTTCCCTAGATCATAATACCTACTTACGTGTTTGAATCTATCGAAGCTGAACCAGCAACACTTGGAGTGGAGATTCCACAATATGAATAAAATAAACATAATTGTCCAGTTTTCATTAATACCATCATGGGAGAATATTATTTTTAAATTTATTAAAGATATTTTCAATAAAATTCTCTTGATTTATAACTCGTACTCACTTTTCTTGCTCTTCCGGACACTTTAGGCTGCCTAGTATAATAACTATCCTTTCCACCAGGAACACAACAAAGATGAGGCATAGCACCAAAAACACACTCCACTTAAGCTTTATTGATGAATTGTTAGAGTCTTAAAAAACACACACAAAAATCACGATAAGTAAAAAATGTATGGGCACTTTTAGGTTAAATCACTTACACAACGTGTAATTTTTAAAATTTCTATTTTTTATGCGAAACCGAGAGTGACCATATATCTGGTAGTAGTTTATGTCACTTCAACACCAAAATAATTAGTTTTTTGCACTACAATAATAAATAATACAAAAAATCAAAGAGTTAAAACCAAAAATCAACCGACAAAATATGAAACGGAATCTAACCCAATATCTAAGTATGTACAGCTGATGAAGTAAACAAAAGTCCGCCCGCAGGCTGATCTTTTAATAGAAGGCACTGCCCCAATGTTCTTTATGAAATTACTTACTCTATGGTTCCTTTACCACCTCGAGAAACTTCTTAGAATATTATTTTGAAATATCTAAAATAATACCTAATTAACTAAACTGATGGGGAAATTAAATCATTTATCATTCTTTTAGTTGCCTATTTGTATATATTTTTTTAAATAAAAACAGTATTTTCACAAAAAAAAATGTTCTTTGTATATATCGTTCATCAGAAAGAAGAAATAAAAACTGAAACTCCTTTCCTGAAAAAACATTTTCACACTTTTTCAGGAATATGTAACATAAAAACGAGATATACAATATACATTTGTAATTTTCGAACTATTTATTAAAATCTCCCATAAACTCTCTGCAAAATACCTAAAATATACATATTTTTAGGTATTTTAACAGAAAAATCTCAAAAGTGACTTTTTTGAAAAAAAAAACCTCTTCTTCCGGATGAACGATATATGCAACCAAACATTTTCTACTAGGGGATGAAAATTGATTTTTACCCCCGAACAAGGAAAAGGCTAATTTTCATCGCACTCACATTCAACCCGCAAAATGTTCGTTCACCCCAACGTTCACCCCTATTTTCTACCGAAAATTACCCTCGTGTTTCTGTCGGATGTTTTCGGGAAAATCATGTGCGCCTTTTGGAAAATGTGGAAATTCTGACAGATTGACAGGAAAGCGCTGTGCGGGTAACCGTGTTTTTGTTGTTTTTGCGAGTTTATGTTTTCTTTTTCGTGTTTTCCTTATTCCTTATTTTCGAATTTGTTCGTGTTTGTTTGTGTTGCGCGTTAATTTCCCTACCGCAAAGGTACAGGAAAGTTTGTTTTGGTTTAGTGTCGTTAAAAAAACAGGTAGGACACTCGTATTTTAGTTTAATATTATAAATCATTATAATAATACGAATGAGAGCGTTAAGTTTTATAATGTTAATAAGTCTCGAGGAAAAGAAAATTAAAAATGTATTTTCAAATAACTACAATGTTTGAGCTCTTTAATTTTTAATTTCATTTGGTGTATATTTGGTTGCCTGGAGTTAAAACTGCATTTCGCGTAGAGGCCTTTCGATTACCGGGGTTAGTTAAAATGTAATCTAAAATTCCACATGCCATCGCATTTTTTTTAATGGGCGTTAATGCGATTGCCCAGTTCGGAGTTATTAACATTTAAATAAAAACAGATCCGCCCTTCCTTCTCCGCTTCATTTTTCTAAATATTATGACGCCTTTATTTCTTGTGCACTTTATCGAAGTAAAATTTCGTAAAAAATATTTTTTTTTATTTGCCATAGCAGTTGCGCCCTTCAGACGCCATTCTACAAACTTAAAAATAATTTCCAGCTATTTCTCATGGCCTCTTTAGTTATCATTTTTTTTTGGCAAACTCGATGGCTAATACCTATGGCTAATACTTTCCAAGATACAGTCGAGAGCTATTCTTAAGGTGCGTCCAGGCCTGAAGAGATGAGGGCGAAACGAGAGACCTAAGAGCGAGACGAGAGAGAGGCAAGAGCGAGACAAGAGCGAGACATCTTCTCTCCATTTTTTGAGGCAATAGCTTGTAAACACATTTTAATATAACAAACGATGGCCAAATAATAACAAACAGTAAATAATGTATCTTTAACATTCTGGTTCGTCGTATTATATTCATCGTTGGTTTTTCCCCTTTTGGTTAAATAGAAAAGTTATAGGGAAGGTTAAGAAGCACATTTAAAAATTACTGTAGAGTGTACAGGGTATTTCAAAAAAGTTTGCGTATATAACATATATATTTGTAATGAGAATGCCCTATTTTTTTATTTTATTATTAGATTCTAAGTATACAATGGTCAATGGGGTAACTTTTTTGCATATGATATTATATATTGTCGAGGTGTATGTAGCGATATCTGTAGTTGACGACATTTGTTGAGACGCCATCTCTTAGCCTTAAGTAGAAAAGCGAATTCTAATCAGGCGGCAGAATTTACTAGTAGGGGACAGAATGTTATCGATAATTTTAGAACGTTCCAGAAACAGTCGCTAAGAGAGCGCTCGGCAGTTGGACAAGTGAAGTTTGAATAATACGGTTAGATCGCGAATGTTGACAATTTGGCGAAGGATTTTATAAATAGTTAATTGTGTGTTGTAATCAGTATAAATTGTGTGTTGTAATCAGTATAAATTGTGTGTATATAGTGAGAAAATATATTCGTTAAGTATTTTATCGTGAGTTTAAATTAGCAAAACCACGGAATCCGTAACAATATTTAAAATTAATAAATTTTGTAATAATTCAATTTGTTTAAAGAAATGTTAGATTTCGGTACAGTAAAAATTAACAGTGAGGCAAAATTTGTAAATTCTATCAGGAAAAATTATAGAAAATACGGTGTACCATTTAAAAAATTTGATATTATTTAATTTTAAATAGTCGAAATTGATAAATCAGAGCTAATATCTTGCAGTCGAGCGAACCTACCAAAAACACGTCCAGACTGTGCCGCGAGCTTTCTTTGATCGCAAAACCGGTAGAGAACGGATAGCAACGAGGCTCCGTGAGTTATTGTCTCGCGAGGTCTATCAATTTTGGAATGTCTCGCGCTCGTCTCGTGAGGTACGGACGCACCTTTACTGGAACACCCGTACAATAATGGTAATTTTACCATACCTTTGACTATAGACCCAATGCTTCCAGTTGTAAAAGAAAACCATTGTGGTATTTTCTAATTTCCATTTATTTATTGTTTCAGCCGTCCGAATGCAATGCTTTCGCATAGCGCATGGCCTCATCGCCTGTCCCCGTCCACCAGTCACTTCTTGACACGAACGACTACCACCTTAGCGCACGCGCAATCGGAAGAATCGGGTATCGAACCGGGTCATATAGCGACAATCACCGGATCCTTCGTGTCGTTTGGAGGACAGGAGGTACTCGATCACTACGACACCGATCATACCGATTTGGGAAGCGAGGTAGATGAGGGAGAATCAAAAAGGGAATTACTGAGGGATGTAAGTATAAAGTATTTTTTCATCTCTTCTTCTTAGGTCGCCGTCTTACTTCGGAGGTTGGCGATCCAACTGGCTATGATGGTGCGTGAAACCGCACCTCTGAAAATTTCAATCAACGTTCTTCCGAACCAACGACGCAGATCCTTCAGCCAGGAGTTTTGCCTTCTTCCCACTGGTCTCCTGCTCTCAATTTTGCCTTCGATGATCAGTCTGAGCACCTCGTATCGATCACCCCTCATGATGTGACCGACGTACTCTAACTTCCGTTCGTTCACTGTTGATAGGAGCTCCTTATCTTTGCCCATCCGCCTGCCCGAGTACCTCCTCATTTGTCACTCTATCCTATCCATCCAGGATATACGCAGCATTTGGCCTGTTTGATCTTCGCCAAAATTTCAGTTTTGGGGTCGCAAGCGTCGTTAACGAGGCCCCCTAGATACTTTATCTTTATGGACAATACTTGTTCTACCACCTTGTTGTTAATTCTGAGGACAGTCTTTCCCGGTGTTTTGGAAAATACAAGTTTAGGGCAACATTTCCATTAGAACACCGAAGTTAAGCGACGTAAGGCGATACTAGTGGATGGACGGATGACCTGTTCGAAACTCTGTATTATGCTGTTGTCCAAAAATAGGCAAAAGTGTAAAATCTATTGACACACACTGCTCATTGACGCCGGTTCGAGGCCAGATGAGATCGGATATCTCATGAGTAAGAGTCGATTTAGACACTTGCCAAGTCGGTAGGCCATTGACCATGATATGGCCGAGGACCGCGGTTCGGATTCCGCGTAAACAAAGTAGGTCCCGTCCAGATTAGCCCTGACAGCAAAAAGGACACGTTAACTGAAATCTTTACTTTACTTTACTTTACAACAAGTTTAGTGTTGTTAACAATGATGTGTAATTCATTGCTGTTTTTTCATCTCTTGTTAATAATTTCTCTGTTGTTCGCTTATCCTTATACATAAACCCTTCTTCGATTGCTTCTCCTTAAATACCATATTCAGATTGCTGCGTCTATGATATTGTCCTGCTATCGTTTGTTATTCGATACAAGGAGCCATTGTGACTCTTTTTATTATCTGAGTGGTAGACACTAAATATAAATGGAGAGCAGTCCAAAAGATACCATATACAGCATCCACCCCCTCCTAGTATATACCTATTTCTTTTTTTTTGTTTTAACAAAAATTTTCACATCAGCTTCAATCCTAGCATTTATTATATTATCCATTTTTTCCAAGTCAAGCAGAGTACGTACCACACTGATTTATATTCACAAATGAAGTGCCAACCTTACGTCCAATGTTGGAACAAACGTTCACCCCATCTTGTACGAGACACACTTGCCAATTGCAATGTTGTCGAATGTAGAATGTTTAGAAGGGGCGTTGATCACCGCGACCTTACAGATCTATTGCGTTCTCCTTTCTTGAGTTATAACGAGTTATAACTTATCGTACGGTCTCAGGGCTTTAACAAAAGCCAGTATCTGAGACGGCTTTACAGAGGCCAGATCTCCATCCTCGACATCAGCCGTACCAAAGTTCATGGTACGAACGGTCTTCGTTTCAGCGCACTCAGTGATAAGGTGTTTGGGTGTTTCCCCATTTTCCCTACAGAATCTGCATTCGCCGTTGTTTCTCAGCTTCAACATACTGAGGTGTTTGTTGAGGAGACAGTGTCCTATTAGAACCCCGTAACAATCCGAAGATTGTTTTTACTTAAATCAAGGAAAATTTTTAATTTTTCTCGATCGTAAAAGCTGTGACCGATTCGGTCGTAAGTTCTAACCGATTCCAGGTTACGGATGGAGTCTTCCAGGTTTTTCAGTTCCGCTTTCAGTTGGTTCTCGCTTGGAAAACAGAACGGTTCTGGTCGAGTTAGTGGAGTGTTCGCTCCTTTTCTAGCTAGATCATTTGCTTCTTCATTGCCTTCTATCCCTTGGTGAGCAGACACCCAGAGTAGGAGGACTTTATTTTCTTTGCCTAATTTGTTGAGCTTCTCAATATTATTGAAAACTGTGCCTAAAGTCGGTTACAACGTTGGAACCAAAGCTTAAGTTGGCTTAAGTCAGGGAGAGAAAAAGGCGACTATGTTTATTACATAATTGCATGATGCGACCCTTTTGTTCACGAGTTTAGAAAAATTCTTGCTCTTTTCTCTTTGATCCTTTTATTGTAGTGGACAAATTCACTGTACTCTTATATTATAGAAGGAAATCGGGGACCCAAAGTCGATCGTTGCCAACCGTGTATGTGTTACGGTTATGGTCCGATATTCGGTTAATATCGACATTACCCGATTAATCTCGAGAATAACACAAAACAAAAAACAAACAAAACCAAACCCAAACATTACCCTGTTAATGTCGACATTAACCGGACATCGGACTTTAACCGTAACATATGCACCAGCTTGCCACTGCTACCAATCGCATCCGCCATTTCGTCAATACTTTCTGTCAGAATGAAAATTCATTTCTCATATCCATTATACGTTATTAGGACACCCCCATGATGTGTTACTTATTACTTACATACTTACTTAATTAAATTTTAAACAAAATAAAGCACATTTTTTTAGAACCTATAAATAGTTTAATCAATTTAATAAACTTCTCTTCTCCTTTTAGCAATGGAGACAGTTTTTTGATAAGGTAAGTCATAAAGGCTATTTACTTTGTAATAATGTCTTAATAATTTTTCCTGTGGTTTTAAGTTTGATCCGGAAGGCTTTGGTGAGATACCATGGCCGGATTTTATCAACGTTATGGAACAGCCAGAGTTCAGAGAACGAGTCAATACCGGGAAACGTCAAATTTTTCTAGAAAAATCAAACACTGCCACTACGCCTGCCATTACCTTTCAAGACTTCGTCAATGTGGTAAGTGTAATGTGTAAGAATTATATCGATTATTATTAAATTATTATTATAAAATTACTAATTATCGAAATTAGAAATTAAATGATTTTCGTACTAAGCTCATAACAAACGGTGGGACAATTTGTATAACACCACAGACTACCTTATAAGTCTGTCTGGTAATAACACCTCATATGATAGGCTCAGAGCGTTCCTAGTATTTGTTTGCTTAGAAATAGAGAATAGAGTTCGCAGGATAAAGGTACTAAATACTATATGATCGAATAAAACGCCGTCAAATACAGCTGGGAATGACAATCGAAGATAATTTTGACGAGATGAAGCCCTAGACGTCATTTATTTGGCATATACTCTTTTTTTAATGGCGCTTACTGCCAGTTGGCCTTAAGAAGGTTGTAATTTGTTTTTATATTTAGTAAAAATATTTTTGAATGGTGTAGTTTAAAATTCCAGAAAAACATTTTTATATGGAAATAAATTTGTGTGTCTGGAAACGTTCTATACTTTCTTAATTTTTCTGTAATTAGTGTTAATTTTTGACAAGTTTGATGCCAATTTTTAGTAAATGACGTCTATAGATTGACCACCCTAAAATTATCATCGATTGTCATTCCCCAACCATCTTTAACGCCGTTTTTATTTGATCATACAAATATGATGAATAATTTTGGAAAAATTAAACTTATTGTTTTAAAAATTTATTTCTAGAATGGTCTAATATCTAAAAACACTTTCTATATGGGATGATATTTATTATGAAATAAAATTACAACTTTATTTATCTACTCTACATGTACAACTTTGGTGTAAACATACATTACTTGAATTACCACGTATATTTACGAGTTTTTCCTAAATGAGCGCTACTTTTTGTCCGCATATTTTATAAAAAAAATCTAGGTCAAAATCTGTAAAAAACCTAACCTAACAAAACCTCGTAATTAGTGGAAGAAATTAGTGGTTTCGATTAGCGTAGAAGTTTGTTCCTTTAATTTCAGTGTAAGCATTCAGAACGTCAAAATTAGTGGTAGACATTTTCAATTAGTAGAAAAAGTTATCAAACTTTTAACTTTTCCACTAATTATACTTCAAAATTTGCGAGAAATGTCATTTTGGCCTTTGATTATTTTATTCCGTCAAGAGAAATTGTGGTTAGAAATCAGTTGATTGTTTTCTTTGAATAAGAAGACTAAGGAAGGAGCATAATGCTATCCATGTATTCATGCATGGTGGGCGGAAAAAAGACTCTAGGGTGGGGATCCTTGACAGTTCTGTTTGACGATTCATTTGACACATTTGAATTTGATTTGAAATTTTGTGGATTTGTCAGTCTTTGCGGAACTTATTTTATGTTATTTATTATTTATTCTACTACTGATAGTTGAATAAAGGTAGTAAATCTAGATGGAAATTCTGGCAGAACTTAAATTAACAGTGACACTATCGCGATTATTATCGAAAAAGACTCTAAAATAGTTGGTTGTGTAGCGTGCGGTAGATCTCGGCAAAAATCGAGTGAAATAATGGAACAATTTTTCGCTAGTAAGTGACTGTATAATATACATACGAGTAGTAAACCGATCATTTATGAAATTCACTTAAATTTCCTAATTATATATTTCTTCTTGCATTTTTGCTTTTATTTACTACTTGTCAAAGATTAGATGTCAAAGAATTTAGATACGTCAATTTGACTTACCTGCTTCAGTAGCGTATCGGATGTTTATGGTTATAAATAGTTATTATAACTTATCTATTTTTATTAGAATTTTATATTTTTATAACAATTTGAATAACTACCAACATTTATTCACAACGTATAATAAAAAAAAAATATTGAGTCTACCCCACGTCTACCCTACATCATAGTTTTACATTTTTTAAATAAAATTAGAACGGCACTGATAAACCGGAATTTAAGTCGGCCATATTTGAGGCCCATCGCGGTAGACCTAAGATTTTTGATATGCTCCTTCTTCTTATTCAAAGATTGTTTTATACGCTAAATATTAGGTTTTTTCTATGGATACAACTCTTAATAGAAGATTATTTTCTTTTATCTATGGATACAACTGACTGACACAAGCTGTTGCTGGGATATTCTATTAATTTTAATTCTGTTTTTTAAACATTGTGAATGATCGTAAACCAAAAAGTATAAAGTGTAATTGAAACCACTAATTTATTCCACTAATTGCGAGGTTCTGAATGAGCCGCACAGGTGTCACCTTGTATTATTTGTCACTTTTCTACTTAACATTTCCTACACGTAACAATGGTAATAGAGAAAATAAATAATTTATAGATCGCCAGCAATCCACAATTCAAACCGCTTCTACCCTTGTTCTCCCGACTTCTCGGCAATCCTACAAACACTCACCCTCAAACATTGTAGGGTGAGATTCAATGGCGTGTATCGCAAAGGCCACCGATTTCTGAACACGCACGGTTTTTCGATGAATCGCTATAATAAAATAATAAAAGGGCGGTTCTTTTCTATAAAAGACCTCTTACCGTTTCTCTGATGAATTAAAGCTATTAGTATAATGGTCGTTTGCGTTCTATAGCCTTTTTAAACCTTGCAAACAATTATATGTGTATGGGTAGGGACAGACGAAGTTTTATTGAAGTTTAAGTGAAAAGAATAAGGATAAAAACAATGAGGTTTTGGTTGTGCAGAAGAGGTTATTTCAGCTTGTTTGTACTTTTGAATAAAAATATTAATTGATATAATCTAATACTATTTATGTGTGTAAATATCCATTTCCAATGATGTTAGTTTGTAAGGTCGTATTGTGCAAAGAATATTATTTTTTATTTTGTTAATCAACTCATCGTTAAGTTTGTTTTTTATACAATTTTCAAAGTTTAATGCTTTTTTATATACTTTAGAATCTGTCCTGATGATGGGAATAAATTTCTCGAAAGCTTGACAAATTGAAAACTAGTTTTATTAGCCCATTTGGTGATTATAGACTGCATCCTCACTCAAATTAGTAGCTTTTTTAATATCGCTACATTTTTTGATGAAGTTGCCCATTCATTTTATTTTCGCATATTTTCCAGAAAGTTGTAAAAATAAACTCGAAAAATTATAGTCAATTTGTAAATTGAAAATCCCCATTATTATCTATTAAAACCCCACAATTGCTATAGGTATATCTTTCGAGGATAATTCGGACATGACAGCAAAACGCGCGTCCCGATTTATAAATGAAGTTTTATCGAGTGTATTGTTGTTAATTTGTACATTATTTACATTATTTATTAAACCAATTTTTTCTTTTAAGTAGAGTTGGGATTTTGACCGTCAAAATCTTTTGTGGTCAATTGTCCAGTCAATTGACTGGTCAATTGACAAAGCAGCAGTCAAATTCTTTCGTGATTCTAAAAAAATAAAAGTAGGAGAAATTACATTTATACGTATATTAGTGATTAAAAAACAGTAAACAAAAACTAAAGAATACAACAAAACGAAACATTACATTAAATGATAATTAAATTTAAAAGTTTTATATAAAATTTAATATTAATTTAAATGTAAAGCATGGTCCACACGCGGCAACTTATCGTACGATTTGTTTGCATTTGCATTACATTAAATGATACAAAAAGACAGTAACCGAACAAGACTAATAATTTTTAAACAAATATGAAGCCATTTTGAGGTAGCGAAAAAAAATGCATAATAGCGCAATAAAAAATACTAATGAGTGGTGGTAGCACAGGCTAATCTAGACAACGGAATCTCATCTTCATCATAGTCATCATTGAACTCATTGAGTCAACATTAAAACAGCAACTAACAATTCTTTCGCGTCGCGAGTGCTTTAGGCAAGTCAGTCCCTGTTATTCGGTTTACGGCAATTAAAAGATTTTGACCTGACCTGGTCAAAATCTTTCCGGTCAAAATCTGGCAAAATCTCGGTCAATTGACCGCGGTCAATTGACCAAGCACAACTCTACTTTTAAGTACACATTGCCTCAGTATTCGTCACCCCTTAAATGCAATTGTACCAGTTATCGTCATTATCGTGTCGGAGTAATCCTCATATTTAAATGAAATATTGTATTTATAGTAAACAGGAAATTAATATGAACAATTGATATTTTCAAGACTTTTTTACTCCAGTACATTTTTCGTGCACCCACCTCTTAAATTTCATGCACTGGATCATGCACTGGAATATTCTTGAAGGTTTGTTTTCTGATTGTTTGTTAAAGTTGTCTGTGCTATCGAAATTTTATTTTGCTTTACAGTTTCGTTTTAAGTTAAATATTAGTTTTTCTTCTGAATTTCCACATTCGATGGTTTGAGAGGCATGAAATTTATCTATTATCCATATACCGTATGATCGACAAAAAACGCCGTCCAGTTGGCTGGGATATGACGATCGATGACATTTCCCATATAAATTTACATATATAAAATGACACCGATCTACATTTCAGAGTCATCGATGCCGCCGTTTTTTCTCGATCATACGGTATTATCAATTAAGATGTTTTCCTCTGGTAGGCTTAAAACGGATTGTGGTCACATATTCATCGCAATAGGGTCTATACAATAAAACCATTATTAACAGCTTCAATCATTTTAAGCATGTTATCTGCGGAGTATTTAAGTTTTCTTACCATATTATCTAATAATACCAGAAATCGTTACCCCCATGTCCCGGTATGCGTCACCTCTAATTAGTATATATTTTCTTTAAAATCCCGAAACAAAATGGTATAACGGAGACTGGTACCCATATTGTTAATGTTTAAAATAACACCATTAAAGATAAGGTCTAAACATACTAGCAAAATTAGTTTTATAATTTTTACTTCCATGCACCAGTAACTGTCATATGTGCCGATTATTAGGACGCCACCACTTTTAATAGACCTAGTAATCTGAAGACGAAAATAAACTAAACATATTCTTTAAATCTTGTATAATCGCCTAAAGACAGCAAGTTAATATCAATACAGGTTATTTAATATAAAACATGCAT